GATTTCCTTTTACAGAATTTCTTGCTTGAAAGTGAGTCAAGTTAATGTTTTGTTTCATCCAATGCCAATGTAGACAGATTTTAGATATAACTCATGAATTTAAATTTTAAACTAAAATTTAATTATTAATAACGGTAAAACTGCTTTATCTGCCGATGTTAATATTCATGAAAATTAACTTCGCCCAAATTAATATTCATGAGATTATTATTTATTACTTTTTCTCAATTATGTGGCCAAATATCTGTGACAAAAATGCTGGAGAGATGCAGATTACTGACAAATTGGTGAATGCCTTTCCAAATGTACTTTTCTTCGCCTGGCTAAGTGGTAACGGCCAAATAGGTGGTGTTACCCTGTGAACTCTACTAAAATTCATCATTCATCGTTAGTTTTCCAGATGTGATGATGCAATCCACTGACTCGGTCTGTTTTTACTATAGTATGATGTTTAACCGTTTATGTATCATTTGCTTTTCTATGACAGTCATTTGCTTCATTCATCCATCCATCCATCCATTCATTCATAATATGTGTACAGTATACATATCAAAAATCTTGTTGCTTAAGGACGTTAAGGTATGCCGACTTATTTAATATGTTGTCAAAGACTTTTGAATGGTTTGAGGAAAACTGATGTAGCAAGTGTTAACTATTGAACAAAATTTGGTTAAAAATACATTGTCTAAATTAGCCAAAAATGTTGTTATCGTTTATCGATGTAAGTGATATAGAGCGATGAATTACGTATTTGCGTTTTATTCGTCGAATGACCCAAATATTGGTATTGGTAAGGCAATAATAAATAAATATTGGTATTGGTATTGCAATACTGGTTTTAAAATTGTATTGGTATTGGTATTGCCAATAGATTTTACAGGCAGTATTGGTATTGGTATTGCCAATAATTTTTTTTAGTATTGTTAACAACCCTGCCTGTTACTTACATGGTGATATGATGGTGATATGATTAGAACACAGCAAAATAGTATTTACATGAAAACAATGATTAACTTGTATGTTTATAATGCTTCAACGAAATCTTTGGTTTGACAAATTCGCGCTCTACATATTGAGGCTAGACTAGTACTCATTGAACCTCAAATGATGATACGTTATTTGAGTGTTCCAAAAACATGCCTACCCGACTAAAAAATTAGTTTAATATAAAAATAATAGGTAAATGCGAGTTAAGAATTTTATTAAATGTCTTGAAATTATTGAATATCAATAGTATGATTAATAATTTGTTCGGAGAATTGAGTTCAAATAGTTCAATGGATATTTGATTATTGTCTCATTCTAACGTATGAAGGAAAAACAAAAAAGACAAAACGTGATTCTCCTATCCTTATTCTCGTAGACTGTACAGCTAAGATTACACACCATTTTATCATAGAGCTTTTGAATTTAAAAAATGTCCACTATTTTGTGAAAAAAAAAAATAGTGAACATAATGTGAAAAAAAGCGGACTGTCCACTCAACTAGTGGACACCTGGCAACCTTTACCATTTCCAACAAACAACGAAAGACAAGAAAGGTGCTCTCCACTTCCAGTGTTTCAATGAAGTATATTTGTCTCAAATTCACTAAGCTTTTGATACAATTATTTTGAAATTAATGGGGGCCCAAAATTTTGATTTGCTCGGGGCCCAAAATTCCTCTGCACTGCCCTGCATACGGTTGACAACTCATATACCGGCTGTAGTAGTAGAAAAAATTTATCAGTAGCGGGTTGGTTAATGAGGTCCCGAGTTATCAATGCAAAAGGGGAGGGGGGGGAGATATCAGTTTCCTCAGATTCAATAGTTTGTGGCAGTTAGGGCCGTGCCCAGGGAAAGTGGCACCCGGGGAGAATTCTGAAAAAGTGCGGACCAGTAAAAGGACGATTTCGGCACCCATTGTCTTTAGGATGTTATCGTTTAATTCCCTAATAAGGTCCTATCTTAAAGAAGATATGTCGCCCCCCCCCCACACACTTGATGTTGGCGCCCGGAGCTAGTGCCTCTTTCACCCTTTTTCACCATACAAACTATTTTTCACACGACCCTTATTGCAGCTGCCCTAAGACTAAGAATGGATCAGTGAGGGCATCCATTAATCAGGGCCGGCCCGACAGTTGCTGACGCCCTGTGCAGGCTGAACTTTGGCGCCCCTTTGTCATTCCTCATTATTCGGTCATGAGTTGATTACCTATGGTGGTTTTTAAATCAAACAATGAACAATAAAATTGTTTTTGTTAACTTTTATCAGAATATCTTTTTTTACTGCACGTTCTATTTTTCTTCCATGGCGCTCACATGCAATGCTGTTTCCTGGGAAGATCGTTGATGGCGCCCTAAGCACACGCCGTGTACGAAAAGTTAGAATATCGTTTCTCGACCCTGCCCTGGACCCGAGGTTCAAACTTCACTATAATAAACTTATGGAATTTAAATATTTGCTGGGCGTCACAGGTGCCCCTTTGGCCACGGCGCCCTGTGCGAGGGCACAGGTCGCACACCCTAAAAGAAAGGCGGGGGGGGCAGGGTGGTTGCACGTAGAGCTACTTTTGTGATGCCTAAGCAGCAGGGGGGGGGGGGAGGGTGGGTTCACGGAAAGGTTCTTTTTGGTAGCCCAAGCCGCCCCCCCCCCCCCCCCCAACAGATGCCCGTACGGGAAAGTTGTCCCCACTTGCGAATGTGACGTGCGACGGGCGTGCGCAAGGCAACAAGTGACTGGTCGTGAAAGAAGGGGTGCAAAGGGCCATCCTGAACAAGCCCTGGTGGTAATGCAGTTGAATGTGTGTGGGATCTGAAAAAGTCGCACGAGGTAACCAATTTACTCCACGAACATGAAGTGGGTGGGTGTAGCATTATTCCAAGAAACCTTGCTCCATGGCAAGCCCTTATCACATTACAGGTTACTCGCTAGATCATTGCAAGTGCGGCCGATGTCGTGGGATCACCACAGCGGTTAGCAACGACCTCGCGGTGGAGGTAGTGGAGATCAAGAATTACTCGAATACGGATACCCTCACGGTGAGATTAACCAACACGGGCAAGACTTTGGTCGTGTCAAATGTCTACAATACTCCTCGCAACCCTGAAAAATGTCTGAACAACAACCCACCTACCGGTGCTCCTAAATCCCTGATTGTGGGTTTTAATTTCAAATTTGGAAACGAAATGTTTCAAATTGTGCACGAATTCTTTTTACAAAATTCGCCAACTAGCTTTTAATTTAAAAACAACAAAACAACAAATTTCCGTTCGATCAAATTATGTTGTTATTATTTAAATTACTATAGGGGCCGTCCATACAGTAGCCTACTTCACAGTTAAGTTCTTGGATGACGTTATTTTCATACATTTAATTTTTCATACAAATAAAACCTGAAATTATTTTACACTGTGTTAAATTTTAGATACTTCAATTTTAATTCACCGCAAAAATTATTACTACTATTCTTTGTCTATGCAGTTATATATGGTTTAATAAAAAATAATAATAATTTTTGCGGTGAATTAAAATTGAAGAACCGATTCTTATACTTATATGTGTGGGTTCATTTTGCGTCGACGTGTTAACAGCTAAAGCAAATGGTTTGAATGTATTCAACGCCATTCTAGACGATATTGTTCAAATTTGGCCACCACAGCAGCGGAGGACTTTAAAAGAAGTAAATATGTTTAATGCAAAAGAAACTGTGTTTTATTGGGAGTGTGAAGTGTTTTAATTGAAATGTGAAATAATGTATAATGTACAAATAATGTTTGCGTAGAATTTAAAGTTCGAAGTGATTATTCACAGAGCTGTGCGGATAACGCTCGCCGTTATTCGCAGAATGTGATAAATTAAATTATGAATATAGAATACAAAGTACGCATGTAAGCATCTGTCACCCGGAAGACCAGGGTTCGATTCCCCGTCGGGAATACAATTTTTAAAAAAATATTTAATGGTTATTTCGTATTGTTATATTATAATTATATTCTTCATATAGCTTTCTTAATTCTGTTCACTTAGTTTTATTATTATTTTCATATATCATATAGTTTTGTTACTAATATTACACTTTTTATTTATACAATTTTATTGTACTTTTCATTCTGTCCAACACCGTAAGTATTCAAAATTCAAGTTTCAATCTATTTTGTTAGAATGTTCATTCAAGTTTCGTAAAAAAAACTGTAAACAACATGGACATGCAGATGAGCCGCATAAACCATGTTTAAGCCAGATACAGCTGTTCTAACTGCACATTGTGATATTCTTTAAGCTCTTTTGACTGTGTAATTTTCTTTGTATAATTCCACTCATAGACTTTAACATCCATTTGTTTTTTTCACTAATAAACAAATAAATATTAATAGCTTACTTATTCAAATATTTTAAATCTCAGAGTTGTGTATTAATGTTTAGCTGAAAATATATGTCACGTTTTATTTTTTTCATTTTATTTTCTAATAAGTATCATAATAAGTAGGGACACAATATGCCGCTCCAGAAATTGTTGAAATAACACTTAGTGATCACAATGAAATTATGAACATACCGGTACCGTACATTTTAGCTCTTGTAAAAAAAATGTTGAAAATTGAAATAAAAAGCCATACTGCCGCTGTTGTAACTATGGGTCTAAATACAAAAAAATCATACAAAAATTAATTGGAACCCTGCTGGTCGTAGGATGCATTGCGAGTCTTGGGGAAGAAGTAAAGTTCCCTTGGGGCAATTGAAGCAGCGTTTACAAGTTTGAGTGTATGGCCAGCGCAATAACCAGCCACCTTTACTTTTCCCAGCTAAGGCCAGAGCTGGGTAGACTTAGGGACACCCTCAAGGATGAGGAAAAAATACTAGCCTTAAACTTAAACAGGATTAGATTCTGTTATTATCGATGTAGGGCCTACATGCCCCTCCCCGTCTCTCACATGGCCGCCTGATGCAGCCACCTCTCTGCATCATAACACTGTTGCACGGCATGTCAACTATTTCTGACAGAACATTTCTGGACTACCTGATATATCATAGTGCTTTAAAAAAAACTAAACTATATTCTATCAAGCTTTGACATCATTTAAAGACATCTCTACAATGGTTGAAAGTGAGTCTACATGAAGAATACCGGTACCATTTTTATTACTGGTATAACATTTAATATGAAATACCAGAAAATTAGTCATGTCTAGGAGTAGGAGGTTTGACTGGATCTATTAGTAACACTCTATAGGTTGAATAGACCCTATGTTGGCCCCTAAACTAACAGAGCAGATGTAGGCACAATTAATTGTCCTATATCCAATATAATACAGGCTATAGTCTATAGTTAAGCCTATTAAATTTTTTAATTTAACTTGTGCGTACCGGTAGCTTCGGTTTTGAGATGTGTTTGTGCCATACTCATTAAAGATCGATCCATCCTACACTACTTAAAACTACACCCCTACACTGGCTTGGAATGTGATCCTAATTATTTCTAGAAATTTGCGTCATTATGGGAAAATTTCTGTCTAACAATAACGCTTTGAATTATTCGAAGATTTCGGTCTGCCGATAACGCTCGGCATTATTCGCAGAATTCGGTCTGCCGATAACGCTCAACATTATTCGCAGAGCTGTGTGACTGTGTGGATAACGCTTCCCTTTAAAGTTTTTATTCAAAAGAACATTTGTTTTATTATTGGAAGTGTGAATAATAATAATTTTTGCGGTGAATTAAAATTGAAGTACCGAATTTTATTTTGGGTTAGATGTATTCGGAAAGAAAATTGTAATTTCTTAAAACCATTTTTTAATTCGAAAGGTTGACGTACCGTTACTTTATGGGGACTGGGTCTGAGATTTGTGACAGTAGGGAGGGGGTACATTTTTTCCAAAAATAGCTTTACATACTTTTAGTAAGTATTTTCATAGACGGCCCCATACACTATTGGATGAATTGCCATTCAAGTCAGTTTTAGTCCACATTCAATTACCATTGTCAAACCCATCTCGGTTTAAATTAATATTTTTCGGTTAAAGATGATCCTTGTTGCAATATTTTGACTTGGATGATGTGTTAAGCCTAATGCTAATTGTTTATTCCAGTAGGTCATAGATTATGTTTTTATTGTTTTTTATAATATTAATGATAATGACTGCCTACTGACACTCACACTGACACAAATGATAAATGAGTATATAGAATATAGACTACAGTGTAGACTACAGTTACAGTTCTGACAGTACTATTACTATTTTAGGGCAATAAAATAAATTCAATTTGCTTTTAACTTTTATGTTTATTTTTAAGTAAGTCCAAGTTTTATAAACAAAAAACATTCTGTCATCATTCTTCATAGTTTTCTTAGTATTGACTTTTTAAAATAAAAAAAAAAATCAACTTATTTACTTATTTCATTATTATTATTAAAATTTTTAAAAAGTTAAATTTCAATCATGCTATTTACTATTACTATTAATTAACTTATGATAAGTTAATAATTAAATTATAAGATGCTGTCTACTTTGTAATAAGTCAAGTTCCAAATAAATGACAATTATTGTTTACTAAAGTCTGAAAGAAAGGCAGTAAAGTTGAATTGTATTAAAAAATAGGGGTCTATAGCGGCAGTATAGCCTAATGCCTAATCATTCATATAATTGAATTGACAATATCATATTGTCAATTGTATTTTTTTTTAATCCGGGTGTAGTCAACTTACTATACTATACTCTATCTTAAACTAGCTTCAGTCGAACCCGGTTATGTCGACGGCCTCAGGGTTTGCCCAAATGCGTCGAGATATCCGATGATTGAAATAACCGAAAACCATAATGGCAGTGGCAATATGTCAACATGTGCTTGAAATTTCTTTATGTACGCGATGTGCGTTTATAAATGCACATGTTTTTTGAGATTTTTTTTTACACAACAGTGTTACCGTGATTTGTTTGATGAAGAGATCGGCATGCATTAAAATTTACATGCATGTTTGCTAACAACACAAGGCATATTTGGGGTGCCACTTTTCCGGATTATCCCAGAATTCCGTATTCATGAGGCTAAATATTTTTCAGCTCCAGATTCACAAGTTTTTATTTTCTCGCGCTCCGGTTTGGCCAGTTGAGTTTATTCAAATATGGATTCTTGGTTTAAAAAAAAAAATCAATGTGTAAGAAAGCGTGAAAGCCTATTAAGGACAAGCAGGTTCTCTATAAATAGAACAGGTATTATGACCTTGCCTCTCTCTGTTGTTTGCAAGCCTCTCGCGCCTCGCTTCTTCCTGTGTCAACTTAATTGCCCAGACAACGATATTGTCATTTCATTTCAGTTACTACAGTTTGAAGTAGGCATGTTTCTGTTGTATATAATTTTCAAAAGCCGGCAATTGGTCATGGGGATCAAGATAACAGAGGCTTAGTGGCAAATTTGTGCTCGAGAAAGCAGTGTTCAGCGACATAAAAGAATTGACATAACCGAGGAGAAAATGCTCAGACAAAGAGAGAATTTGGCGGTTCCACTTCAAAAACGTCATCATAACAGGGTTGTCGAGTTAACCGAGGTGGAGGTGGTTTGACTGTAGTCCTATTTTAGATACCCTGTTCTGTATGCCTGTTGATGTTGGCCTGCATTTTACTATGGTACTTGAATGTTCTAGGATAAGTAAGTTACCAGGCCTATAAATGATGCAGACATTTAAAATAAGTATAAATTAGGCCTATGTCTCTGCATATAAAATTTATGACATTATTATAAATTATTGATATTCATTTGATAATTATACAGAGCTAGAGCTGTCCTAGACTATAATATTAATAAGAATTAGAAGTCACAGAAGACCAAGGCCTTCATTAGATAAAGCTACATATAAACTTCAGAGTTTGAGGCCACTGTATTTAAAAACATGGTAAGTAAGCCTAATTTTTTTTTGACCACATACCCCCTTAGTTATTGGGCATCAAGGATGAGCCATGCATTTCAGTGGTGGATTAAAAAAAACAAACATCGATGGCAAAAGAAATTTTTTGTTCAAGTTGAGCAAAGCCTAATAATAGAAAGACTATTAATAATGTGCCAAGCTTGTAATCTATAGTGTAATATTTAAACTTACTTATTATTATGAAAAGCATGACAAGTTTTTTTTTAAAATTCCAAGTTTCTGAAAGATACAATCATTAAAAATTCAAATGTCATATATTACGGTCTGCAGGTACCTTATTGATCTTCATTCTATTGACAAAGAAATCGATTTTAAAAAGATAATAGAGAGAAATGATATCACATTAGTTTAGTGTTATTATTTATTTTTTTTAGTTAGCACTTCATTATGTGCATTATGAAGAGATAACTTGTAAATATTTTATTTAGTGGGTGTTAATTTAATACTTTAATATAAGGTGTAATGACATACAACCCGCAAACTATTTACTCACTATCAAAGTAGCCCGCTAAGACTTTTGGGGTAGCCACCCCTGATAAAGTCAGTTCTAGTTAAACTTATGGATTACCCTTCTGATTTTTCAAGGCTGAAAGAAAAGCTGTGAACAAATACTACCCACCTGACTGGGATCCAAGGAAAGGTTCGGCAAACAAACGAGTTGGACAACATCCACTCAGAGATCGTGCAAAGAAATTAAGCCAAGGCATTCTTGTAATCAGGTGACATATAGAAAGAAAAAAATGCAATCTTGTTGAACTATTTTAAAAGTAAGTGTGCTTTTATATGAAAAGGAGTAGAACCTAATGCAGACAAAAAACAAATAAATAAGATCTGCACATTTTTCACCATGTGCATAGGCCGAAGGGCACATGTCCAAATTATAACTAACTGAAACAGGATGATGGTTAGAGAGTAGAATTTTTTATAATTCTTCAAAACGGCTTTAAGTTATATGATTTGTAAATTGAAACTCATTGAAATTCATTTTGTTATTTAATGCAGGTTTGAATTGCCTTACAATATCTGGTGTGGAGGTTGTGGAAGCCACATAGGCATGGGTGTCCGATACAATGCAGAGAAATCTAAAGTGGGAAACTACTACAGTACTCCAATATATAAGTTTCGGATGAAGTGCCATCTTTGTGACAATTATTTTGAGATCCAGACAGATCCCAAGGTAAATTTATGACTTGTTTTGTGATTGAACATTTGTTTAATAAATATGTCTTTTAACAGAGTCCCACTGTTAGTTGATTAGTGGTCTTATTAATTACTCACATAAGATAAAACGATCCATTGCTTTAGTGGTGGATGTTTAAATGTGAACTGTAGAAACTCAGATGGCAGACAAATTGTGGCCAAGTGTAGTCTGTATAATTGATGACATATTATTATATTATGTAATAAAATCATTTTTTTTTATGACGTCCTATGTAAATGCTAACCATAGTTTTGTTTCAAAGCTTTTACCTTTAGCATCAATGTTTTGATTTTAGGTTTCTGCAACATGCTAGTGTTTCATTGAACTAAACATGTCATTGTGATGACGCTTCCCTCCCTTGGGCTTGTACATTACTGTGTCCTAGACTACAAGTCTACCATAACCCATGTTATGATATTTGAGTTTCTGCTGTACCTGTTCTTTATTGCCCTTGTACAAAGAGGAAATAATATCAGAATAGAAAACTTTAACTGTCTGCCTTGAGCACATGTATCACGAATTGACAAATCCACAGAACCATGACTATGTCATCTTAAATGGTGCAAGAAGGAAGGAACAGCGCTGGGATCCAGTTGCAAATGAGCAAGTGGTGCCTGAAGGTAATATCAAAATATTTTGTGCTGATAACATATGGAAAGATAAAATTATCACAGAAAATTAAATTGTAAAGCATAATTTGCTTTCCCCATAGCTTGGAAAGTGATGAAGATTTGTTTTCAGATTAGAATTTTGAACCCAGGCTCGACTGAATACAATTATTAAGATTGGTTAAAAAATATTGATAACTCCACTAGATAAATCAACACAGAAGAAGCTGGCCACAGATCCCATGTTCAAATTGGAACATGGTTCAAATGATCAGCAGCGAGGAAAGGATAAAGTCTTGACACTTGCCCAGATTGAAGAAAGCAGAGCCCCTATGAAGGATGATTACATCCTGAACCGTATGGCTAGAGATAAGTTTAGAGTAAGTGCAGAAGACCAATGTACTATAGGTGTCACGTACCGCTATAAGTGTAGAGAATTTAATCTCCTATTTTAATTTATGGCTCGTTGATAAACAGTACACAACTAAGGACACTACCATTAATTAAATACAGTAATAAAGAACGATACCAAAACTAGGCATAATTACAAATAATAATTTATTAAGCAAATTTTAAAATTGCCAAATCAAAAAGAATAAAACTAAGGCTATTCACTTACAGTACAGCAATGAATTTGTACCGGTACAATGTTGGAAGGTGCACACACATACATAGTTAATATAATGTAAAATATTTACGGTCAGTACAGTATGTCACGGTCAGTACAGTATGTCACGGTCAGTACAGTATGTCACGGTCTCTCTCTAGCTATACCACTCCCCAAGTCGATTGGCTTATTTATAGTCTTTCCTTGAGACTTTTCCAGAAAGGGGTTACACATGGTACCTGCATCTCGGCCTGTCTCGTAAGTTCTAAAGAATTCTACTACAGACTGTGTAGTACTACAGACTACAAGGTCAAGAGAGACAATTTGTGAATTAAACCACACTCATCTTCGCCAAACTTGGGGTTACCCAGAGTTCATGCACAGGATGTATGAGATGCACGAAAATTATGACGTAAACACAAAAACACGTCTGCATAAAAATAAGGATAATTATTTATAATAGCTTTAAAACTACAGCAGTTCTTCTCCAAATTCTTGTCTGTAGTTCTTTGTGGTTTCAAATTACAGCAGTTCTTCTCCAAGTGCTTGTCTGTAGTTCTTTGTAGTTTCAAATTACAGCAGTTCTTCTCCAAGTGCTTGTCTGTAGTTCTTTGTAGTTGGAAACTTCATAACTTAGATGATGGTGTCTGCCTTCCCCAAGCCTTAAAACACATTGAGTAGTCAAGCTGGTCATTTCCTACGCAGTGAAAGTCTATCCAGTTCAAGCGGCATGGTGTCCCAATTATGCAGTGTTTTAGTTCTACAATTTTGTTTTTACTGTTATAGACTGTGGGTTCCCTTGTATTTTTTACTCCAATGTAACGTTGTAACAACCAATCCTCTCCCCTTTTTTTTGGATATTTTCACTTATTAAATGTGTAAGGCTGTACCTAACCCACCCCTCCTTTGATTTGGAAAAGGTTGTATAGTTCTCTTTGTTTCAAAGAATGCTATCTGATGACACAATTTCTGGAATGTATTTCTGGGGGATTCAAACTTACTCATATATATATATATATATAAACAGGCAGCTTTCCTAGTGGTGATTTTTACTCATTTTTCTAGACGTTTACGAGACGTAATATACCTACAAGAATGTACTCTTTATAGTGGTTTTAATTTAATATTTTATATCTTTGGGGGAATGTATATTTTGACTTGCTGTTCTGTAAGCTGATATAGTTTTTTTTCTCAATCCATTTGATTTTGTGTATTTGTATAAATTTAATAGTACATTGAAAATGAATATTGTTAGAATTACTAGCTTTGGTATCGTTTTTATTTGTGTACTGGTTTCAGGTCCTTTATTATGTATTGTTCAACACGTGGGCCAATCTTAAAATGGATTAAATTTTCAAAACCATATGATGGTATGTAACATTGCTCTTTGATATAAACTAATGGAGATTTCCCTACGTCATTATATGATTTAATATTTTTAAAAAAACTTTATGAAAGTAAGTGCATTTTTTATGTTTTAAAAAAATTGAAATTTTGTTTTGTTAGTCTACTCGTATCATTAAAGTGTTAGATATGAGTACAAATATATTTTTTTCCATTTTGGAGTTGAAAAGGAAATATCTGAATAAGTGGCTTGTGTATCTATAAACTGTTAATTTACTTCATGACCTTTTGTGCCAGCTTGTGCTGTGTCTTTTGAAATGGAGTTTTATTAGATATTTATTGAACATGTATACTTTAAAGAAAAAAAATTGAGTTTAGGGAAGGAAAGAATATTTAAACAGAATCCATTTGAAGCAGAGAAACCCTGATCAGATTGATGCTTTTATTGCATTGTCATTTAATTTTGTTTAGCTTAGAGTTTAATGTATTAGACAAGCACTAAGCCTAGACCCGAGACTAATGTTTCTCTTAAATGAGATCCAATGCCTAAAACTCATTGGACTGGTACAGAATAGGATTTTAAAATAAAATTTGTCATGTTGCTTTCATTTCAGACAGAGAAAAAGCAACTCAAAGAATTAGCAGATGCCGATCGTGCCATCTTAGACAAGGCCGCATTAGATATCGCATTGGTGGAGGAGACAGAAGAGGATAAAAAACTTGCCGGTCTGCTGAAATATGCCGTCACGTCATGTGAGTTCAGTTTATTTACCACTTTCAAAATAATGTTTCTGTTGTGCAAATAATATTAAAAAACTTGGACTGGGCTCCTCTTTCTTCTTTTTGTTTTCCTGATACTGATAGTTTCGGTTTGAGCTGAATTAAATGATTGGCTCACAAGTCTCATGGTAAAACTTATAAAGTTAAAAAAATGAGTTCAATAAATTTAACAACTTTTTGATAGTAGATAAATTTTATGACTAAAGTGAATACTTTTTGTTAAGATTGTATCAACTTAATTAATTTTTTTTTTTTACCCTTCCTGTAACAACAGCGTTTGAAGAAAAACAAAATGAAAGGAGAAAAAGCATTGAGCAGCGACCATTATTTGATACCAACAAGTCTTCAACTTCTTTGCCTTCAATGCAATCATCATCATCTGCCAACCTGACGCAACACAATGGACTAAAGCATAAGCTGAGCAGAGCTCTTCAAGCCACTTACAAAGATCCTTTTAAATCAGTCAAGAAGAAAATTTTCAAAACCAAAACTCCATGGACAGGCTTAAAGCTGGCTAAGAACTCTTCATTTGTGGTGGTTAAAAGGAAAAAGTCTGGAAAAGAGGCTGAAATCTCTTCAATGTCCAAAGTTTCTGGAACATTTGATTTTAGAAAACCAATGACAAAGCCTGACACAAAGTTACCAGCGCCTGCAAACAGTAGTTTATCTGATAGTAATGATCCTATAAATTCAAACTCTTATTCTGTAGCACCATCAACTGTTTCTTATCAGTCAACTGCTACATTAGCAACATTACAGAAAAGTCACAGCTCTGATAGCACTTCTGGAACACAATTTTCAAATGCAGCGTCTGCAACTGCAAATGATTTAACGAACGCTACAAACACTACTGACACAAATACTACTGATACAAGCTGTGGCAGTATGGATACGATTAATGTACCAAACAGCAGCCTTGAAGCCTTAATGAGTAGTTATGTGGATTCTGACAGTGATTCAGGGGTGAGCTAGCCGAGCCAAGTATAAATTGTTACTTGATGGAATAACTCTTGAGTTTATTCATGTTTCTTTTATGCAATATTTATAATATATTAAAACATTTTCTTAGGCATATTTGGTCCTAATGGTGTAAAGGCCATTCACAAATCGGTACACGAAAAATAAAATTTGTACCAAAAAATTCAATTTCATCCATCATGCTTTAGTAATGGCTTAATTCATGAAGTACAATAGTAGCATAGGAACATTTCCACTGAAGCAATGAGTGGTTGGTTCCCTGATCTGATCTTTGTTGATTAAAATATTTTAAAAAATTGCTACACATTACTTAAACTATCTAATGTTATTAATGTCGAAATATAATGGTAAGGGTTTTCCAGATCCAAAAATATAGTTTTTAGGGATACAAGTCTGTGATATAAGTAGCAAATTATTTTGCAGCTAAAATCATGAAGAAATATTTATTTTAGAAAGCAATTAGTTCCTTTGTCCAAGTGAGGAGCCTACTAAACAATACATTCTATCACATTTAAAGTTAAATATTATTCATTAAAATCTGTTACAAATTGAGAAGATTACAATTCAATTTCTACACTTAATGAATATAGCAAACCTATTCCCCCACTGCATGATTTTACAATGCAGTAGTTAATGAATTGGTGCCTTTTTTAACATTTAAAAATTTCAAATAAAATAATTATTAACTGATAAAAAAAAACTGAAAGGGTTTTAAAAGTCACTCAGTGCTTTCAAATATCTGTTAAAAGTCACTGGGTAGCTTTCAAATATCTGTTAAAAGTCACCCGATAGCTTTCAAATATCTGTTAAAAGTCACGCTTTCAAATATCTGTTACAAGTCACTCGATAGCTTTCAAATATCTGTTAAAAGTCACTCAATTGCTTGCAATTATCTGAAAATGAATAATTTTTTTGTGGCTTTAACATATAAAGAACAACTCAGAGTTACTCTTTCACCTTGTTTTGAAATGCAGGTAGTTGATTTAAGCTGGGACTTTTAGAAGGGTACAAAATGTAATTAGTCTCAACTGTGATTACATTTGTGTAATTAAATTAATTGTTTATATTTTTTGGTCAACTTGAAAATAATAAATGTATACTTTCTTTGAAATATTTTAAAAATTCATTAATATGTGTTATATGTGTGCATATTGAGATATTTTAATTAGCACAGAATGGAGATAAAACTAAAACACCAAAATTGATTAAATAGCTGTATTCTTTTTATTTAAAAAATATTTGAAGTTTTTATATAAAATAATGTGTATAGGCAAGAAAGAAAAATAATCCCTGTAAAATATATATTTATAATTCATTCACATGAAATTTGTTGTGCAATAGGACCCTAAAATAGTTCAGACCTTGAATGTCCCCTTATTTGTATCCTTTGAAAGATTTTTGTATCCAAGCAATAAAATATTCCATACCACAAACCCTCAAATCCTAACAATAAAACAGATGAGCCATTTTATCAAATTTAAAATTTCATTTTTAGTTTAGGTTTCATAACTTCAGCAATTTGATTAGTCTGACTTTAAATTCTGTCTCAATCTTTAAATTAGTAATTTCTAACAAGTTATATTAACCCGGAAGGTGTTATAAACTATGTGCTAGGGTAAGTTAGGGTTCATCTTTTACTACAAGTGATGTTACTCCTATAAAATAAGTGATTCATCTTTGTTTAATAGTTGTCTGTTCTTCCCATTTTATTAACTTGCTTTAACATTAACTCCAAAAAGTATTCAAACTAACAAACCAGTGCAGGAGCTATGATGAATCGGCAAGTGTTATATGAATATGAATATACCACCCATATGTAGCATTTGTAAAAAAATTAAAATTTGAATACAAATATTGGTAACATTCAATTAAGCCTTTACTTAAAATAATACTCTCGCTGTTATAATAAGCCTCGTTGGCAAATGCTAACAGATTTTTTGTCAAATACACAGCTGTTTTGATTGTCATTGCATAATCTGAACTATCAGTGTTGGTAATGCTTTACAAAATACATGTTGAGACAGGTACGGCTTTTTAAAGTAAAGAATTACTTACATTTTAAAATGTCATCCGGATAATTTTTTATATTTTCAAAAAGTTAGATTATACGAGGGATGTGGTGAAATAATATCACATTTATTGAGTAAGAAATTGTTTATCTTAGAGATTTATAAACTCAATGACATGCTTGACAATTTCAGTGAAGAGTCATTCGGGACCATCCATAGAGTACATATGCACTGAACAATTTCAGTGAAGAGTCATTCGGGACCATCCATAGAGTACATATGCACTGATGGCTGGGTGGGTTGCTTACAAGTCTGTATGGAAAAGTAGAGGGGGGTGAGTGGCAGAAAGTACATTCATTTATTAATAAATTTTGCAATAATTTTCATGAAACTTTCATGGTCCATAAATATATGGCACCCGTCCATCCATGTGAGACGATGGTGTAGTTATTGACACAAATGGCTCATGAGGCAGAATCTGGGATAGCAAACTCCGCTGCACTTCTTGCAAGAGAACCTGGTTAAATTTTGCCTTCAGTAATGAATGTTTTTGATGCAAGAGCTTTGTTTGACGCTTTTCTGCCTGTTTAACTCCTTCATGCACTGCTGCTCGCCTGCTGGGACGGTGTTCAGCAATGATATACAATAGTTAATTTCTATGTTGGCTTCCCTCATTTTCCTTTTCAAACATCCTTAAATTACAACAGCGGCCATCGAAATAAGTCTTGCCAACTCTCCATACAGCAGATCCTTTTCCTCACATGGCCTAAATAGCATATATGAGTATATGTATATATACACAACACATACACACATATATCCTTATTGTAATTATTGGATATTTTGTGTCATAGGATATCGGTAATTATGAAAGATTTATGAAATGTTTTTTTTTGATAGAAATGTTTTTTTTTTATAGAAATGTTTCTCAGATCGTGTAGGGTAAAAGAAATGTATGGGAAATGCCTGAATCTCCTTATATGAGCTTTATAAATATATATTTTTTTAAATCATAATTTTGCACCATCTAGATGGGTCATGAATGTTTATTAATTTTGATGGGTTTTTTTTGGGGGGGGGAGTGGGGTTGTAATTTAAGGATGTTTGAACATTTTAATATACGTTTAATCAAAATGAGTACAAAATTTGCTACAAGACAGCTCATTGTATGTAGGTATTAAGCATAGGGGGGAGAGGGGGGGTGTAAAAAAATTGTCCTTTGTTTTGTATGGATGGCCCCATTCTAGTCTTTCATTTCTAGCAAAATTTTATAGAAAAAAATCTTACATGACTAAATCATTTAAATTACTGTTATAGTAGTGGTAGCAATATTAAATTTGCTTAATGGGATGAATTTAAAAACAACTGTAAATACTTATTTTAAATAAAAATAAAGCATGTCTATTCAGTTCCCACCTTGCACTACGAAATAAATAGATAATGGCCTAGTATGTAAATTAGTGTTTAAATATAATGGAATATGATATTCTTAGCATTTTAATGTATGTACAGCAAATGAATTAATAAATAACTACCCCCATCATTTACTTTACACAGTATTAGCAACAGCCTAAATTAGCAATGTTTCCCCCCCCCCAATTTTCTTTTAGGCCCACAAGACTTTATTACCTATCTAAATACCCAGCAGCGGTAGTCATTTCACAATGGGAAATTTAATTGTTGAGAACATAATAGTACATTTTTAAATTGAATATTTTAGTGACATGAGGCTGAGTTGGATTGTCTTACAAACGAAATATTGGTTGACTTCCTCTACTACACTGACCAAGTTGAGAGACTGTTGCTGTCAAATTAAATAAAATAGAATCAATGAAATGAAACAGAATGTTATACAACAAAATATTAAAATAAATGGAAAGGTTGTCCACCTGCAAAATGTTTACTGCATTTAAAAAGTGCTGAATGATTTAGAAACAGACTTGTGAAGGGTAGTGGGTGATTTGACAATATGGGATGAAGGAAAAATAAAACGACTATAGAAATGAATTTTGAGGTAAATAATGGTCAAGTCCACTGTAATCTGCCTTAATGTTAAGTCATTCTACAAATTAACAAAGGGAACTGACAGTTGCACTTGCATTGCATTATTCATTATGATAAAAGCAGAGGGTAACCATAAACAAATGTATGAAATATTCAACCCCAGATTATCGACATTTCAAACCTAATTTCTTTAGACTTTTTGAAGCAGTCTAAGGTTGCCCAGTTCACTTGAAGCTAAGTGTTGCCCAGTTCACTTGAAGCTAAGTGTTTCCCAGGTCACTGCAGGAATTTCTTATATAAAATATTTTCAGGAACTGAAAGTTTTTCATTCAGTGACTGCACACAGAATATGACTGAAGCTTCAGTTAGAATATTATATATTCTCTGCTTGTCCACCTCGGTAAGAGTTACGAAATTCAACTTTTTTGTTTTCCCCGTAAACAAAAAGTATTTTTAAAATTTGGTTGTAGTCAATTTTGATCGTCCTTAGTGTCATCTTATCACATTTTTTTTTACGATAGAAAATACAAAAACTTTGTAATAATCCACAGAATAAATTGCACCATTGTTTTTACCACAGCACCGCACAAATTTAATGCATTGACTGGTCTCTTGGGAACTGTTTTAAAAAACACAACAGTTTCATCCAATCCAGAATTTGTTTTAATAAAGTTTATGGCAAAGAAAATACTTGTAACCTTGTGTCTAAAGGCACACAAGTTCAGAGTTAGAACACAGTGTTCACTAGATGTCCACCTATAAGTAACATAAGTCAACAGAATGAGAAAGTCTTCCATCAAGTTTTGACTGTTCCAACAAGTTACTACCTGCAATTTCTTTTAGACTCTGATTACCGTAACAGAGAATAAATACAGGAGCACTTGTTATCTTGATTGATAATTTTAAACAGACAAATCAAAGTTATATCCTGAACAGACTTTGTCTTAAAATCGATCAGGAGCTGTTTCCAATACTTTGTTGTTTCCCGAATGTGAAGAGTGAGAACTGATTTTCTGAGCTTTCAAATTGCAAAAAAAAATTCTCCATTTTCTATATGGTTTTTGGCATTACATTTTGATTTGTAAATTTTATTTTATAAACAATTCTAAGCTAGAGTTGTTTTAGCAGCTTATGCTTTTACTAATAAGTTCTTTTCTATCAATTCAAAATTTCTTTGAAGATTTAAAAATTAATTTACAACTTGCAAAAATACCATTTTCAACTTTTGGCCTATGAAAATCTACTAAAATTGACATCTAATTGGTTTACTTCTTCGAAAATATGATTGATTAGTTGTTGGACATGTTTCCTTCTTCGTAAAGTTTGTACACCAGCTGAAATAAAGACAAAAATAATGAGGAACATTTCTATAATAATTTAAATTGATTAAGGATGCACAGAACAAATGACTTGTATTTCATTACATAATGAATTAACTACCCGTATTAAAAGTCTACAGAAGAGTGCGCCATAACTGGATATGCACAGTAAATTTAAAGAGAAAAAATCTGTGGAATATGAATTCTTGTGTTGTGACATAGAAGGCCTTAGAACAAATAAGACAGCCGTGCAAATACATGTCTCTTAATTTATATGTGCTACATTTCAGCAGGCATTTTATTTGTTATGAAACACAAGCTTGCTAGTCAGATCATAAACCCCTAACTTTTAAGCTATTTAAAAATTCCAACCAAAAAAAACCTGTTAATCTTATGGGGACATCGTAAGACTTGACTACGACATGCAAAAAAAATGCAGTTAGTTAATTTTTAAAAAAAGCAAACGCGTGTCAAGTATCAGTAAATCTTAAGATGTATTGACACATGTCTGTTTTTAAACGTACACTTTTAAATTTGACTTTGAGGCCATCCATGAACTGCTCTGTTGACTTCCCATGTGGAATGAGAGTCTCCAATGGTCGGCCTGGCCTCTCACGGGAATAGGTCTCCTCTAGGCCTCTTGGTATGTAATCCACATTCACATGCACCTAATGAAAACAAAAATCAGCTGATTGATTGAAAGTTACATTTTTAGTCTTTGATCAAGACAGGTCAGCGAATTGGGGTAAATTAACCCAAACAACATTATATTAAAAGTGCATTCCTTTTTATAAAAGATTTTCTTCTGGCAATACTGCATCTGTCAGCGCCATAGAGAAAACCACCCAACATGTTGTGGATATAAGTGGTTCCACGGCAGACAACTTGTATATGCCTATGTTCATCTTATGCTCAGTGGCATCACTAGGGTTAGTGTAACAAAATCCGGTAAACCTACGGTGTCCCCCCTCCAGACTTCCCCCCATGGACCACCTGCTCCGTTGACACCCTACTCTGGTGGCACCCTACTTTGGTGTCACCCTGCGCTGTGGAACCTTCTTTTTATGGCATTCCTCTTGCTGTCCTCTCAGATACTATATTGCAGCTAAAGTGTTATTTATATTTACTGTTGTTGTTTGTATGTTGATGAAGGCTTCTTGCCTACACATTTATTGTTTCCTTACATCCTATTTTTCAGGTTTTCCCGTACTGTGTTTTGCTCATTTCCTTTTACCTAACCTGACTGCAGTCTCTCCCCCTTATTACCATCTCTTAATGGCCCCCTGCTCTGATGGCAAACTGGTCTTGTATTTATCTTAGGTCTGTTATAAAACCGACTTGATTGAGCTCTATCAAATATACAAATTTTCATTTTCAAATAACTCTCCCTAATTTGATGTTATTGTATAAAAAAATGAAACATCATTTCACCAAAATTTGAAGAGATTCCCCCCCCCCCCCCCCAAGAAATCCTTTTATTCCATGAAATTCAATGATTTAAACGATGTCGCATTCACTTGACACTTTAAATAAAAGGGCATTCTCTGTATAAATAGAATCAGTGACATTTTGAATATAAATTATCTATGATTTCCTTCCTCTCATTGGTGGTAAAGACGGCTTATTTTGGGTTACTCGTAACAAAGTTTCCCAAGTTAGTCCCAAAGTGTTGTTCCTAACAATGCAAGCATAAGTATCACATTGATAAATTGTTGAAATATTAATAAAATGATGTAAAATATTATAACATAAAAAGATATTTTATGAACTCAGAGATGAAGTACTTACAAGTTTAGATGAAGGGACATCATACATGAGCTCATCATCTCTACGTGCATCGCTGAGTCGGACAAAGACAGATGCGCCATCTAGGAGTTTCAACTGTTGATAGAAATAATTTTTAATTAACTGGAACACGCTTCTCCCCTGTGATGAGAGTGAAGACAACCATTGTAAGTCTAATTGACTTGTCTGACTTTAATTTTTTTGCTTGAATTTACAACTAAGTCTAAATGTTTTTAACATTTTTCCTACTTAGTACTTTAAAATTGATTAAGTAAAATAAATGAAACAATAACATTAATGGCGATCACTTAAGTTTTATTTCTATTTCGTGTTATTTCTTCATTAGTCCTTTCTGCTGAGGAAGGCTCTTAACCAAAAGGTTCTTCTTTTACTGTCCTGTCTTTTTATTTCAAGCTTTCACATACCTTAATCTAGTATTTTAAAAGTAATTGGCAATGTATAACATGGAACTGAATGCTTCAACAAAGTTCCATTACTACAAAGGCTGGGAGTGTCAACAACCTGAAATATCACTTGGTCTGTTTGGCCGGAGTGATCTTGTAAAATCATCTTGATGACAGCACTTACATTTTTACTTCGAATGTTTCTCTCCATCCACTCTTTGCAAGGTTCTCTGGCCAACTGCTTGAGCATCTGTTGGTTGGGTGCACCCTGGAATAATGGCATCTGGAAGGTCTCTGTGAAGCAGTACTTGTCTTTGAAAACCTGAATAGCAGTCCATGCCTGCAAACAGATAAGAAACTTCATGAAAATATCCACAGAGAAACTGATGAGCGTGAAGAAATAAAAAGAGGGAAAGCTGTGTTGACAAGGTTGCTTTCGAAGCATGGAGCTCCCTATCCTCAAGTTTATATCTCTAAAATACCGGGTATACAAAAACCATTTTTAAAAAAAACGACTGATAAGATTTACACTGGTTAAATATATATGGCATCCTTCCGTCTTCGCGAGACGATGGAGTAGCTATGTAGTCCTACACTTCGACAAGTGGCTCACTAGGCCAATCCTAGAATGACAATCTCGACTGCATTTCTTGCAGGAGAATATTGATTCCTGGTAAGATTTTGACTTCCGTATTGTTCTTTTTGTTGCAAGGACCTCGTTTTCACGTATCTTCTGCCTTTTTTTACTCCTTCATACACTGCTGTTTGCCAGCTGGAACGTTGTTTGGCAATGAGCACCCATTCGTTGTTTTCAATATTGGCTTCCTTCATGCTCCTTTTGCAAACATCCATAAATCTCAGGCGTGGCCGTCCAATAAGTCTTGTCCCTTCTGCCAACTCTCCATACAGCAGCATCTTTGGGATACAGCCTTCCACCATTCTCCTTACATGGCCTAACCAGCGAAGGCGCCTCTTGCTAAGAAAGGAGAATATGCTAAACATGTGTGCACGTTCCAATGACCTCTGAGTTATGCCCCTTGTCCTGCCATCGAATGTGTAAAATGCAACGCAGACATCTTTGATGGAAGCTGTTGAGTTTTCGCTACCGATTGGTATATGTGGTCCACACTTTGCTACCAAATAGGAGCGTACTAAGCACACATGCCTGATAGACACTTATTTTTGTTTTATCAGTTAGTTTGAGATTATTCCAAACCTGCTTATCAGTGTAGCCATAGTTGCTGCTGTTTTTGAGATCCTGATAGTTATCTCTTCATTAATGGAGAGAGAACTAGAAATATTGGATCCTAGGTATGTGAAATAGTTTACAGGGAAATCAGAAAATCTGCCAATGATTAGTTTAGTTGGAATGGTTCTCACCTGTTCAAGCAAACCATACTTGTAGTTGTCCCTAGTGACATTGACAAACACTTCTTGTAAGTGGATGACTGCCACGAGGAACCTGTGATATGACCTACGAGGGAAATGCTGTAGAACAAAAAGGAAGAGATTGAATTAAAAATTAAGTTTTGTAATGACGAAAATTGTATATGTACCGGTACCCATAAAATTGCATCAAGTTGAAGTTACCACAAACATACCGACAGAATAAATTACTTAAACTTAAGACAAGTTATGAAATTATTCATTTTGTTACCTTGAAGCCATCTTTCCACGCTGGTGATGTGTGTGTGCTGCGTGGGTCAAGATTTTCAACAAAAGTCAGTTTGTCATAAGTAGCATGAGGTGTGCCCTGAAAGGAAAAACATTGTAGAAAATACCATGAAACATCCCAACATAGTTGTCTTTTTTATTAACTTTTAACAATCCAACAGTTTTAAGTTTTCACTTTTCTTATTTGGAACAGACAAAGTTTGAAAGCTTCTAACAGCCAAATGAGGTATCATTTGCATAAGCTGATGAACAATCAACATGTTCGGAAATTTAAGGTTTATACGGTAAAAGACATTTTGAGATGGTGTTAAAGATTTCAAGTAGCTAATGAGACACAAACAATTTGTGTGAACAAAAAAAAACAGGTCAAGCTTTAATTATGGTTGCACAGAATACAAATGCAAACGTATCGGCAAATGTTTTCATCAGTACGACAAAAAAATTCATACAAGTATAAATTAAATTTACATAATATATATATATATATATCCTACCTAAATATGAAAGAAAAGAATAAGAATAGGCACAAATCCCTAACGAAAAACAAAGATCAGAAGAATTTTCACTTTACAACCAAATGTGTGAGCCTACTGTTCTGTGAGGCCCACTGTTATGTTAGGCTTACTGTTGTGTGGATCTACTGTTACGTGATGCCTATTGTTATGTGAGGCCTACTGTTATGTGATGCCTACCTTTATGTGATGCCTTTGACAAAGTTAAACAAGGATTTTAAACATTATGCGCATAATATTTCTATTTAAAAAAAACCTACCATATAGAATGCTCCTGGTGGGTTAAGGCAGATGTGAGCCAAGGTAAAGTTAGCCCATGGAAGATTAACACCACTGTCCAAGGCCAGCTGAAAGATACAGAAATATGAACTAATCAATTCAAACAGCTGTCTGGCTATGTTTCTTATCTCATTGAGTTAAACAGATTTTTAAATGTATCACTTGTTAGATTCAGAAAATGAGTTATTCAAGCAAATGAGTAATAATAAATTTTTACTAAAAAACACATTGTGTTAAATTTTTTAAAAGTACATTTTCAAATTTTATATATTTAATCAACAACTAGCAAATTATGCTTGACAAGACAACTTTAAAAAAATTTAAACTTGAAAATGTATTAATTAATCGCAGTAATGTTGTCCAGTAAGAAATTTTGAGTCAGTAAAATAAAGGTGAGCAGTTTTTACCTTGATGCCGTGCTGTGGACTGTATGAGGAAATAAAGTTCAAGTCTTGATCTAAAGGTTTGGCATCCATCGACTTGGTCAGTTGGTTCTTTAAAGTCAAAGTTAGAATCATTTTATAATCCAAGTCTTATCTCTTATAGAGGCACAAAACAATACTAAATTTAATTCAATATTCTTATGTTAATCAATCGACTATTATTCCATTGTTTATATTAATATTAGTCATCATCTCTTTAAAAAAATGAAGGCTAATAATTATCTCTGAATTAAATTTACCATTAACCAAAGAATTTGGTGCTGCAAATTGAAAAAAATACATTTTTGTAATATTTTTAGCTACCGGTATTTAGAATTTAAAAAGTAATGTTGCCTTTAGATTATGATTGTTTGCAATGGTTTTTATATGCATGGTTATAATTCCATCTATTCAAATGGTTTTCTCAAGTGAAAGCTTACTCTGATATACTGTTCCATGTTTTTGTCTGAGCTCAAGAAACTCTCTTTAGCTTTGGTTGTGGCGGCCACAGCATCACGTATTGTGGTGTGAGATCTCTTCAGCATAGCATGGAACAGTTTGCTCTCTCCCCTTGTCGGCAGGCACTGGCCGGACAGGTAGACACGGTCAGAGTACTTGGGTCGAGGATACCACAGTCCAAGTCTGGCCCAATCTGCTTGTGGAACTTTGCTGGACTATGAGGAATATGGACATAACTTTATATACAACAACATTTTGTACAATAAAAATGGCTTTTTACTTATGGCATACAGTAGTTAAAGTCTAAATTTATTGGCAGTAATCATTATATTTCAACATTCAGTGAAGATTTTTAAAAAATATTAAAAAAATTTTCTTTACATTTAAAAAAATTTAATTTCTTAATTTATGTGTTATATTTTTATTTAAAAAAACATTGTCCCATAAAACACAATCCACCTTTCTAAGATTCATTTCAAGAAATTGGCTAAAAATTAATGAAATAATTCAAATAGTTCATGAAATTAGAAATTTGTATAAAAACAAATACCAGTACTTCATTGCTAATCTAAATATTGTTTAAATTACCTCCAAAGGTCTTCCTTTTGGCCCCTTGGGTACCTTAGCCAGTCTTACAAGTAGACTAGCACAGGGAATGGGGCGGACATTAGCATCACGCATACACTTTTCAGTGAATGGATCCACACCGTTAGGCCCTTGACTGTATAAACGAAGTTGATGTGCACCTTCATTTAATGAGATCTGAAGAAATTTTTTAAAATTTACAAAAATGTTTTTTTTTTTTTGCACCGTACTCAGCAGTCTACATGTTTAAACTTGAGATGATCAAATTTTTAATGTGCTCAGTCGGCCTCACTGATTGCTTTTAAAACAGCACCCACCAAACATACTTATTTACTAACAAAGGTACAGTTCTTTTTTAATTTTTTAAATTTTAGTTAGCAGCCTAATTTTATAATTAAACATTTCTGAATGAGTGATAAATCAACCAACATTTGCATCACAGAAGAAATTATTGGATTATACAAAAATTGTAAGATATCTTTAGCAGGATATAGCAAAAATTGTGGTTAATTATCACAGCATGTAGTTAGGCTTGCTTACAAACAATAATGAAAACGTGTGCAATGTAAGGAAAATTCTTGAAAAATTATCTCAAGCCTTACCTGTAGTCCAGCTTTGTCAACGCTAGGCTGCCTTTCTGTACCCGACTCAACAAAAACATTTAAAGCAGCATAGCCAACAACCGTCAGCTGTCTGTAGAAATTGTCAATGGTGTAAACCTAAAATCATAATGTAACAAAACATCAAAATTAGTTTTAGTTTTGTAATTCGAAAATTCATCAAAAAACTATGTGCCTTTGGAATAAGAAACAATGAGAAATTTGTGTCTCAGACTCAGATGTTTTTGGAGCATAGAACAGTTAATGGATAAGCATAAAATGAAGCATTTTGTCAGATATAGAAAAAAACGTCAATTTAAAAACAGTCAAATGAATTCATTGTCTTTGCCAGTAGGCATTATGCATACCATTTCCCTTGGCAGTAGGCCTTATGCACACAATTTCCTTTACTAGTAGGCACTAAGCATACCATTTCCTTTGCTAGTAGGCACTATGCATACCATTTCCTTTGCCAGTAAGCACTATGCATACCATTTCCTTTGCCAGTAGGCACTATGCATACCATTTCCTTTGCCAGTAGGCACTATGCATACCATTTCCTTTGCCAGTAGGCACTATGCATACCATTTCCTTTGCCAGTAGGCACTATGCATACTATTTCTGAACTCTTATAGGGTCATTATAATTACAGAGAGATTGACAAATTCATTTTAAAATGTTCTTATTTGTAAAATTTTCTAGTTCTTCTTTTTCTATGGATTTTGAAATTTTTTAATATATTCTGTTTGTTATTTTGACATTTTAAAAATAGGTTTGGTAGAATAGTCAAAATTTATCAACAGGTTTGTCTGTACCGGACCAAACCGGCTCCAGCACCTGCTGATAAAATGTTAATCAGTTTATCCAATTCTAAGCCATTTTCTTACTTTGAAAAGTAAAGTGGCCGAAGGTGGAATCTGTGTTTCTCTAAATTCTGATCTATGTTCATAGACTGGATTGAATATTTCACTGTCAATCTTGACACTGGTTGATATGTCTTTGCCGTAAACTTCATACTTGCGGTCTAAGATGCGTGCTGCAACCTGAAACAGAAACACAGTTTAGGAATTTTATATCACTGATGATATCCTATTAAAAATAATTTTAAAATGTGCTAACAGATTTGAGGACTTACAGAAGAGCATCAATTTTCCAAACACTAGTCATACCAAACGCAGGTTATCAGAGTAACCCCTCTATTTTAAAAAAAATTGTCATAGGCAATGTGCATGGCATGAAGCATATGCTTACAAACACTGGAACATATATTCTGTCGCACAATCCAGGTAAAAAACCTAGCTACCAGTAAATACTGTTTAAGAAATAGCAAGACTGGGATAATGCAATCTGCAAACTTGTTATTTGATATAATTTGCAGCAGCGGAGCCTGCTATGGCAAAGTAACCTAAGATTTTATTTTAAGTTAAAGTAACTCTCCAAAAGCTGTCCTATTTGTTGATTATTTTAAGTGGCAGTCATCTTTAAGTTAAAGTAACTCTCCAAAAGCTGTCCTAAAGTAACTCTCCAAAAGCTGTCCTAAAGTAACTCTCCAAAAGCTGTCCTAAAGTAACTCTCCAAAAGCTGTCCTAAAGTAACTCTCCAAAAGCTGTCCTAAAGTAACTCTCCAAAAGCTGTCCTAAAGTAACTCTCCAAAAGCTGTCCTAAAGTAACTCTCCAAAAGCTGTCCTAAAGTAACTCTCCAAAAGCTGTCCTAAAGTAACTCTCCAAAAAGCTGTCCTAAAGTAACTCTCCAAAAAGCTGTCCTAAAGTAACTCTCCAAAAAGCTGTCCTAAAGTAACTCTCCAAAAAGCTGTCCTATTTGTTGATTATTTTAAGACTTTTTAAAAATATGTTCCAGTTTCCCAAAGGGCAATCAAAAGTCCCAAAAACTTAGGAAATGAGAATTATTATTAAATCATTAAATTAATGAACATAATGCAATTGCTTTCCGACTAATCTTCTCGGTCAAATAGCCGTTAGTATTTGAAAATGATAAAAGATCAATTAAGAAACATTTAAAAACTTTTCTGTTTAAATAGATTTAAGTAAACCAGAGCCCAGTGAGCATGCTAAAGTAGCATGGATACCAGCGCTATATAAATATCCTATCAATCAATCTCTTTTTAGAAAAAAACTCTTTCAAATAATTCTAAAAAAAGTTCCAGTTCTCACTGGCTTAGACAACAACCACTGACCCTGATATACCTTTTATGATTGCTGTACATTATACTCTGTTCAATAAAGCATTATGCATGTATAAGGGAAGGATATATTATATTCTATAACTAAGTTCTTTAAAACAACCTTCCCATTGAAATGTTCGGTTATATGAAATAATATGTTATCCTAAAATCCTCTTGTCCCAGTTAGGGGTTCTTCGCAAATTACGTCACGCTCGGGGGTGTGTGTGTCTGTGTGTGTGTGTGGAGAATTTGTGATTTTTGTTTAAAAAATCTAAAATTTTCTAATTTTGAAAAATCTTTATTCAATTAATTTTAAAAACATTAATTTGAGGTCAAAATTGCCTCTGGGTATAATAAGTACCGTGAAACTCATAGAAAAATGACGCAAACACTATTGTGGCCATTCTACATTCGGCTCGGGGAGGACTTCATTGTTTTGCGTGTTACGTCACAGCTAATAATTTATCTTAATCCATTATGGGAAAATCTTAAAGAATAAAATAAAATCTTAGTTTATGAACCTTTTATGTATGTTTTGAATTTTTTTTTAGGTGTGAGGTGACACTAAAGGAAGGGGGGTTCAAAGAATTAGTGACACTTTGTGATTAGGCTGTGTGTGTGTGTGTGTCTGAAAAGGTAATTTTTTGCGTGAAGTACTTTTCAAACGACCCCTTAGTTCGTATGACTGACGTTCTACTTTACTTGTAAATTGTTTTAATAGAATTGTTTTGACTTGAGTGTAAAATTTAAATTTATTTTTTTATTGCACTACAAAATATACCCTTGAGTAAGTCACTGAATCTGGTAGGAATCGACAACCATCAATGTATATGTCCAGACCATCTCCTGCATGGAATGGTTCACTTGGGGGAACTTTCCTATCACATGGCAGCCAGGCATACTGAAAGAAGACATATTTTTATCGGCAGGGGTAAGATAAAATGTATTTCATATAAATAAGTTACTGGTAATACAATGGGGTGTGTGTGTGTGTGTTTTGTGTTTTAGGGTTGGGTAACTGATTTATATGATAAAATTACATTTTAAGAGATGTGAAAGTGCTGCCAACATATATTCAACAAGGTAAACGAAAAAAATTGAAAATGTGTGTAAATGAGGTGTGACATGGGTCTGTGTTTGAGATAAAATCATGGATAGCCAGGTAAAATTTCAACAAGATTAGCATGTATCGATTACCATATAAATTTGCTTAGGTTATCTCAAGAATGATGAACACGTGTTTATGAACAGTTTCATGTGAGCTGCAGCTAAATATTTGATTAATGACATAAAATACATATGTAATGACATACACAGATGAAGTGAAATATGTTTAATGCCATACACACCTCAGGTAAAACATTGTCTCCTTCATCAGATAGTTCACTTGGGGTTAGGGATCCAGGGCGTGGGAGACCTTGGAAAATATGTATTCTAACTGAAGCTTTGCCATACCGCCGAGCATCTCGGTGATACTGTAAGTCGTTGTATGGGATGTTGGTGGGCTCTGGGACCGGCGGCTCATATAGCTTCAATACGTGGGTTCCTGTGTTGAGCCTCATAATGCTGGGGTTGAATTCTCTTCTCTGTCTGGAAGTTAAATCTGTGTGGGGAAAATGTAAGATTAATGTAAGTAAAGCAAGTTTATTTTTGAACAATTTAACACAGCCCAGTAAAATTTCAAAACATTAAAATCCATCCCAACAAAAAAAACTTGAAATGGAGCGACTAAGTTTTTGTAATAACTAGATACGTTTTTTCAATTCTTTTTCTTATTTCAAACTGCATCTGTTTGAAAAATTGCAGGGCAATTTGCCTTAAGTCTAAGCTTATAAAAAATCAACAAATAGGACATATTTGTTGATTACTTTAAGACTTTTTATATATATATGTTTCCCAAAGTGCAATCAAAAGTCCCCAAAAACTTAGGAAATGAGCATTATTCTAATACATTACAGTAATGAACATAATGCAACTGCTTTCTGTCAAATCTGCCCAATCAAATACCTGTTAGTATTTAAACATTTTTGGAGGATTTGTAAAATTAATTATTACTCGCCAAGGTTCCCCTGGCTCTGGCTCCTAAGAGCCAATGACATTACGGTAAGTTGTTTGTCAACCCCAGACTACATTTTACAGAATTGTCAATAGACCCAGATTGAAAAGATTTGGTATATTCAGAGATACATAAAACACATTCAAGGACTGAACCTTTAATATATTTATGTAGTAAGGAATTATTTATTTAAAAATATGACCAACCTCCTTGCATGGACAGCACAAGTGGTATAGCTGCCCAGGCAACGAGAGTCTCTTCTCCATACTGTGGTCCTGTCAAGTTAGCAGGATCTGTGCCATCATTTGGCCCGCTGATTTGTTTCTTCAGGTAAAACCTGGCCACAACTAGCATGTCTCCAGACATTTTAACATCCTGGAATGATGCCTCTTGCTGGCCAAAGACATGATAGTTGTATTTGAAGTTTGAGCGGACGGCAGTCGTGCTACACATGACAGGGCTGGTGGCTGATTGGACAATCTGCACAAGAAAGTAAACATAAATTTTTTCAAAGTTTTGTTGACTAATAAACACTCATTTATTTTATGGGATTAAATATTCAGGTATTTAAAATCCGTCACAGACATAGGATAAATGTTGAAATTTTTAGTTAGAATTTTACAATGGATTTTGTATGAGCAATGTAACTAGTTAGTTACTGAGAGAATGTCAAAGGAAGCAAACACTTAACATATTAATTTGTATATAGTTTTTATTTTTTTAAAAACCAACACCATATTATGGGCATTACCTTTCCATTAGAATGATAATATGGTGTGGGCATTAACTTTCCATTACAATGATAATATGCTGTGGGTGTTAACTTTCCATTAAAATGATAATATGCTGTGGGCGTTAACTTTCCATTACAATGATAATATGCTGTGGGCGTTAACTTTCCATTAAAATGATAATATGCTGTGGGCGTTACCTTTCCATTAAAATGATAATATGCTGTGGGCGTTACCTTTCCATTACAATGATAATATGCTGTGGGCATTACCTTTCTATTAAAATTATAATATGCTGTGGGCATTACCTTTCCATTAGAATGATAATATGCTGTAAGTCGAATTTTGCCTTCACCAAGCTCTGCGTGTTTCACCCGGTCGACTTGGAAGCCTATAGTCGGGTCCGAAGTCATATTCGAGTTCTGTATCGGGGGCAGATTCGAATTCCTGCAAGTTTATATTCAGGTTAATGATAAAAGCATTTTAAAAATGTTAAAAAATGCATATTTTACAAAATGGCATCACACTAAGATAAAATAATTTGGACAAGTAAATATAGAAAAAGCAGTATATTACTTGCTACAATACAATTACAGGAATATGAAAATTGTCATTTTATTTTTTAAAAAGCCCATCTTTGATTTGCATAAGGAAAAATATAAAATATGATGAAACTAATAATATTAGCAGAAGTAAAGCAAAGAAAATAAGACTAACATAGAAACACAAAAATGTGCAAAGTATCTAGATTATGTAAAAAGTAAGTATTTGTTAAATTGAATTTCTAAAAAGAAAACTAAAATGTGATTTTAATTTATTTTAATCGTCACAGATTACTGAGGGTAATAAAAAGCAATTGTAATCTATCCTCATTTTATATAATTTAAATGAGTAGATTTGTAGATTTTAAAATATGAAGTGATTCCTTAAGACATTTTCATCTGACTATTTGTAACATTATTTTTGAGGGTTGAGTAGTTTTATAACTTTGTTATGTTCTCTGCTTTGATGTCACAAAAAATTTGAAATTTTCAATTGTAAAATAAAACATCTTAATGGACCTAAGAAACTGAAAGAAATCTTAAAATATAGAAAAATTACACAGCAAAGGCAAAGAAGTCAGTATAAGACTCTTTACAGCTATATTCAATATTATTTCCCCTTTTCTAAATTCAAAATCAAAATGAACACCATCCCTACATCCCCTATTTCCCTACCTTAGTCTAGGAGAAAAGTAATCCATTGGAGAAGTAGGAGGGGATGCAGAGGGAGGGGGAGGAATAGGAGACACAGCCACCTGAGTGAGGACTACTCCACCCTGTAAAGAGACAACAGGCAAGCAAAAGTTATTGCTTGTGCTTTTTTTCTTGCCTTTTAATTTTAATATTTAATATAAACCCTAAATGAGACATTTTTTGATCCAGTAATATTGAAAGGAGCAATTACAAAAGGCTTTTTTTTTAAGTCATAATTTAATGAAAAGATAAAACGGTGAAATTATTTTTCATCGCATTAAATAATATTTTGAGAAAATTTATTTTTGCTATTCTTAATTATATTATATATTCATTTAATTTCCTCCTTTCACTGGAAGTGATTGGAAACAGTAACTACATCACTGTGTACGTGGATAAATATATTTTTACATAGATATCTTATTTTTAAACAATACAAGCTTAATATTGTGACTGAAATATAATAACTAGAACTAAGAAATGAGAATAAAAAGCGAGATTGAAATAATGATAAAGTTAAGATATTTCTAATAATAAAGTTTAGCAATAGTAATAAAGCAAGTGCAGATCTATTTTTTGTATTGTCCAAAAAAAAAAAAGCAAAGGAAAAAAAAATAGATTACAATTAATCAGAAGGGAGTAAGAGAAAAATAATTATTTCTAAAATGGTAAGAAGCAATAGAAAGCAAAAGCTATGATTTTTTTAATTTAAAAACTCTATATTAATTTAAGATTTAAAATTATGAGCAATCTTGCAGAACGGATGTCAGTGCCACTTACCACCGGCGCCACCTGGTACATGTCTTGATTAGTTGCTGCTATTGTTGCCATAGACTGACTTTGAGCATCACGCATGTTGACAATACGGTAATACAGCTCAGCTTCTCCATACTGGTTTAAAAAAAGGTGGGTTTTTTAAATAACAAAAGATAATCTTGCCAACGAGGCCACCACACATAATAATGTAACATCATTTAAAAATTATTAATGATAATCACATTTTATTCTTGGGTTAAATTTGATAAATGTTTCATGCTGAGGCGAATTAATGAAACTGGAGAAGTTTTTCCATTTGTAATAATTCAGCATTTAAAGTTGATCTAAAAACCAAACCAGTCTCTGGGTTTCCTTTTGCTGGCTAAAGCAAAAATAATTTTATTCAGTTTATCCATGAACTTTTTTCATGTCATTTTCATCAAGGTACATTACGCTAGTAAATAAAACAGTACAAGTCCTTGCCTGGGGGATTGTGTTCAGGTCATGCATGGGAATGTAAGGCTTGAGAGGAACGGCTCTCAGAGGCAATCGATGACGTCCGGTCATTAACCGATCCTGACTGTCAAACAAGGGAATCTTGGTCCAAGCTCGTGTAATGAGCCTGGTCTGGTCATGCTCTGAACCAGGGGCTGAGCCAGCAGCTTGCAGCTCCACCACGATGCCAAGGTCGGGCTGTGGTGGACATCTGACAGTCCAAAGAGACAGGTTAAGTCCATGTAACTTTTTTTAATACACGAGTATTTGAGTTAACTTCTCAAGCCACACTTTAAAAAATTTTTAAATTATAATTTTATTTCTGTTTTATGTGGTTAAACTGCAGCAATTCTAGCAGACGCAATTACAAAGTTTAAGGTAATTTTAATGAACTGGATAGTCTTTGTAAAATTTAAACTCAAGACAAAAAATTTCTTAATGACCTATTTACCTTTTTTCATTAAGATGAAATTCTATGAAAAGTTTTTGATATAAAATTTATTACAGTAAATCCAGTTCAAGTTCAATCAGAATTCACAATGATTCCAGGTTTACCTAGGAACTGGCTGCCTGGCACCAATGACAGCATTAACTGCGCTGTAGTCGTTCTGCCTAGTGGAGGGCTCAGTGTAGACAAGGGGGAGGATGGTTGGTTCCCCTAGCTTGGCCTGGGTGTTGTGCAGGCCAACAATAAGTCTCACCGCTTGGATACGTGGGTCCAAGTTAAGAACAAAGTCATAGAATATGGTGAATCCAGCACTGCAGACAACAAGATGGAAGGTGTTGTGCATGGATGCAGAACATTATTTACACAAACAGTAACAGAGGTAAAAAAAAATTATTCGGTCCTATGAAAGTTTCTAACATCATGTCACGCTGTTGTGTGTGTGTGAAGCTAAATCTGGGGCTCTAATCTCATTACTGCAGTGGTTCACTTATTTTATGCCATGTGGGTGTAAGAAGTTAAAATTAGGTAAACGATTTAGGGCACTGATTCTTAAATTTTTTTGTTGAAATACTCCTATTCATTACAATGTTTTAAGAAAAAGCCAGAACTATGACTATAGATTTGTATTTATTTACTGAGAGATTTAGATTTATGACATCGATTATTTTTTTTGCAACCCTGAAAAAAGCCCCAGGATCCTAAGTTTAATCCTACTGCCAGATCAAGTCGTAAAAATAAAAATAAGGACAAATTTCTTTTTTTTTTTGTTTTGAATGTGATACTACATGGAGTGCACATGCATAGTAAAATCTCAAAATTTTCCACTGGTTGAATAGGTTTCACACCAATATGCAAAGACAATATGACAGTGTATAATTACTGCCACTAATTATTTGGGTTCAAGAAAGCAGTTGTAAAAAGTTTACAAACCACTACTGAAGTCTAAAATATATTAAACAATTGTGTGTGGCACCAGCAGTCTATCATTTGGACCCTGTGGGGAAAAAAGTTTGTGTAACACGCCGGGATTTTTAAAATCTACCAAAATTAACTGCTAATAAATAAAAAAATTACGCATACAATTATTTTGAATATGGGAAAATGTTTTATATCATTGTTTTTTCTATGAATCAAATTTCATTTAAGCAGTTTACTAAAGACTGATTTAAGATTATTACCAACACGTTATTGACACTTTAATACTGTTATTGACACTTTAATACCGGTATAGTTAGAAGATTAATGTTTATTTCATTTTTGAAAAATGGATTTCAAAAGTAATTTTTAATTTCCATGAATTTTTGTTATTACTTGAAATAGAATCTTTTAACTTTATAAGATGATAAACACATTTTTAATTCTTAAGAGCCTGAAAACCTTTAAACTGATAAAATTTAGTAGTTTCTTAAAAACATTAACTAATTTAATTATTTCACCATTTTCTTTTACATCATTTCTTTTTGAAATATTGGTAAATAAACATCAAAAGATTATTCTTTACCATGAAATTTTCTCAGCAAAACCATTGGTAACATTTTGATAGTGCAAATACCTTCTTTATTTCAATAAACCCCATCAGTATTTGTTAAAATTTTTTTTTTAATTCAGTGTTCTGTGTAAAGCAATTATTGTCACTCATTCAAACTTTGCTACAAAACTACACACTTGAGGCAAATATCTTTCACAAGACTATATTTCTACTTGTTTAATAATAAATAAAAGGACCATTATGATGAAAAAAAAATCTTTATTCAATATCGTTTAAACTAATCAAAACATACAGGTCATTCAAACATGCAATGTCAGGAAGAATGCTTTTATTTTCTATGGTTACCTTACATAAAGAACAATGACTCTGTAGTCATATTAAGTGGTTAAGAGCAAATAATAATTTTCTAAAAGATTAAATTTACTTTCAAAGCTTAATGGAGCTGTTTAAATTTAATAAATGGTTAGATTATTACTCCAAAATTTTTCACCTAATTATTGAGCATTTATCATTGTTATAAAAATATAGTTCACATTGAGAATTTACAGTAGGTAAGCTAATAACACTGCTTACTCCACCGGCCGAGCGATGACTTCTTTCAATGCTATTTTTTGTATTGTTATCACTATGGTGCAAAATGATGGCCTTAACTTCATATCTAAAGATCATTTGGTTGGAAGCCCTTTGCATGCCTGGAGGTGGCTATTCTGGTGTACTTTGCACTTTAAAAACGTTGTAATATAAGGTTTATATCACACATTTTTTCAATAGATTTAAAGAATAAGTTCTTTAAGTTAAGAATAATTGTCTAGAAGGCACATCAAATGTTTTTCTATTCAACATTTACTTTTGGTAAATAGGTCTAAGGTTACAGAAAATTTTATATCAGTACACAAGTTTATAAGAAATCAATTCAGTTTAAGTACCAATAATAGATCAGGGAAGCAGAAAGGAGCTATGTAACCTTTCAGGAACAGTAAGGAAAAAAACAAAAGCTTAATCTTTTTGAGATCCATAAACATTTAAAATTATCTGACAGATTGTAATTAAAATTTAATTTTGTTAATTCCTTATTCTATGTTGCATTAGAGAAACCTAACATTTTTACAGGAGTTGAGCATGTAAAAGTAGATTTCTAGCTGTGCTGTGGTTTAGAGCACATTGCTACATCAGAATATTAAAGCTAGGTCTTTTACCTAATTGTTTACAAAAGTTAAATTAAAAGTCTCTTTTGTTCTCCTGCTGTCCTCCCGGATACTACATTTAAGCTTAGTGTTATTTTTTATTTAATTCTGTTTTTAGGGTTCTTTGTTCTCCGATGAAGGTTCTTTTTTTCAGGTTTCCCCATCCTTTGCCTCGCTTATTTCCAATTTCCGTATTATAAGGCATTTGGAATCTGTATGATAAGTCTGTTTAAGACTTTATTTATTTTTAAAATTGACAATTATTATTATTTATTAAAATCAATGCAGAATAAGTTATGTAAAATCATGTATACACAGATGTTTCATTTTTTTGTGAAGTGGGGGATAAAAGAATGCCCCATCAATGAGATCTTGGCTTCTAAATGATCCTAATTAGGAATGACTGTCTGATTTATGTCTTATGATAATTAATGTAGTCCTTTATTTTACTTTGTATCTGTTTGTTAAATTCTCAATTATTAGTCATACACAGTGTTTTCCTAAAATTTTAGGTAAATTAAAATAAATTAAAATATTGCTAACTTATTAGCTTGATCATAGGAATGTAAGCATATTTAATTTTTTTTTTTTAAATCTTAAAACAAAAATAAAGAGAAATAAAATAAATGAAAAACAAATATCTAAAAATACAAGTTTCTTGTCTGTTAATAAGTTGGTGGAACTCAATCTGTTCATGAGCTTGTGGAGCTAAGACTCTACTCATAAAATATCACAGAGAATATATGTTGAATAGGCTTAGGTTTTAGCTCATAGCTTTTTAAAAATCCCTACACAGTTGTACAGATATCCGTGTAGCTAGTGTAAAGTTCACATTCTTTAATTTATAGACTTGCCGTAAAATTTAAATAAATAAATATATCTCTGACATAAAAAATAGATACACTGAACAATTTAAATGCTGGAATGGCATCCAATGCATGTTACACGTAATGAAAGTTCATTAATAAAAAAAAACTCTATACCCTCTCTTTATATTCCCAAGCAACATCCTGTTTTGAATGACAGTTCAATGCTTACTATGGCATTTGTTTGTATAATAGAACAAGTAAAAATATCACTTAATTATAGAACAAGTAAAATATCACAGTTTTTATCACAGTTGTTTCAATGCTCTTTTGATGTAATATTAACATTGATTTTTCCCTTATTAAAAATGTTACATTACTTTCAAAGAAATACTGCCATTACAAACAAGATTTTAAATTAAACAAAATTTATATAGCCTAAACTTTATCCTGTTTAAAAATGAATTTTCATATATATATATATATATTTTTTTTTTTTTAATTTTTTTTTTTTGTAATAACAAATGTTTTTTAACTACTCAATTTTTAAATCAATTTAAAATACTGCCATTACAAACAAGATTTTAAATTAAACAAAATTTATATAGCCTAAACTTTATCCTTTTTAAAAATTAATTTTCATATATATATATATATATTTTTTTTTTTTTAATTTTTTTTTTTGGTAATAACAAATGTTTTTTAACTACTCAATTTTTAAATCAATTTATTGAACTTTATTTATTTTGGAAGACTTATAAGATTAAGAAATATTCTCCACAAGAATAATGCTTTGAAAATAAAAAATAAACTCTATTACTAATGCAATATACATATAATTTTTAAAATACCTACAATTTTTTTCTTAGAAGTTAATTAAATTTAAATTATACAAAAATAATTGGGACTAAAGGACTCCTGTAGTCTGCCAACTTGCATACGCAAGATAATCCCAATCTCAGTTATTGCATTTAAGGACAGTGAGGCACATAAAACTTAGTATAAGCATTTGGTAGATCATTAATTATTTTCTGTTAATAACACTTCCTAATCCTAGAGTGGCATTGACAACTTGCACCAACAGCTGAACAGACCCAAGGATCAGCATCACTGATAGTCACTTTTATTTTATTATTAAAAGCTCTTTGTTTAACTCCTTTTGAGAGTATTCCCAAGAAGTTACAACAATCTTTCATAAAAACTTGAAGTCATTTGTCCAGTAAATTGCATATTTCCTTGTAAGGGATTTAAAAAAAAAAAGATTAGATCTATTCTCGGAAAGGTGACAGGTAAAAAAAAATAATTTGATCATTAAAATATTTTTAAAAAATTAGAAGAAATAGAGTAACAAATTTAAAAAAAAAGTCTTTAAATGAATTTAAAGACAAAGATTATATCTAACAGACTAGTACAGCAGACAATCTGTTCTTGCAAAAAGAGATCCATTGAAAAATGCCTTTTCCTTGAAGCAAGTATTTTTAGCAGCTCCATCCAGATGACTGCTTGTGATGATACCTGAAAGGAAACATCCACATACAACAAACAGATTTTCAGATTAAAGAATAAAACTTAGCAATGGACAACAAATATATAATAAGAAATTAACTATACAAAATAAATTCTACTACTCTATGAATAATAGTGTCATATTTCAATGCTAAAGGATTTCATATATTTTTAGATAACATTTTTTTTTAAAATTTAGAATAAAATAAGTTTGATTAGCAGCCTTATGGTAAGATAAATGGTGGCGTTTTTTTTAGTTAAAAGAAATGACTGTAAGGAGCAAGTTAGTTGATGAGAATAAATTTTTTTTTACCTGGCAACAAAGAATTGTCTGGATCAAAGCTGAAGTTCATAGTAGGGGTCAGAGTTCATATCTTGCCGATAATGTGTTTTTGCCCATGTGTGTGCATAAGGTTGACGGGGGCTGAAACGGCAACACGCGGAACTTGCAGCATTCGGATTAGTCCAGAAAAAAAAACTAAATTCCTTTTCCTCTAATTTAACTCATGGCCCACAATGAAATTTAAATAACACTAATAAGTTTAATCACAGAGTATTATAAAAAATATTTACATTTCAGTTAAGCACTTTAGTTACGTTTCATTATATTATATACCTTTAGATTAAAAAAAAGGAGCAGCCTAGCAAAGAATACCTTGTTTTAAAAATATTCCACAACTTAAGATCACATTTTATCATTTATGATCATCTGGGCAAACTGGTTTTACATGTTTATTTTTCTTTGTTATAAAAAGAATGCCAGAACTGATATGCTGTTGGTCATTTAAAATCTAGATTAGTATTGGAACTGCTCCTTTTTTCTCACAAGGAAAGGCACTGTCTACTTTATCTTACCTATAGTCATATGGAGCTAGTCTGTCCACCTCAATTATTTGCTATGAAAATAAAAATATGATCATAACATTAGTTTCCAGCCATATTTAAATAATCAAAATTTTAATGAATATCTTTAAAAAATAAAAGAAGTCTTTGTTAAGTAACCAAATGACAGTTCACACATTTCTCTTTCAAATTTACTTTTGTTTCATAGAAAATAAACATTCTTTTCCTTCAGAATCCAAGCAAAATATTTTTTCAAGGAAATCATTTTTGGTTTTTAACAAATGTTTTCTTAAATTGACTTATTTAAATTTAAAGCTCTCCCATAAAACTTACTGGTTGGGCCATAGGCGGTGGAGGTGCTGAAACTTGAATAGCTGGTGGCTGATGGACAATTATTTTTGATGGCTTGTCATGTATCTTTAAATAGATGCTTTCATGGCGGAGTTTCTCAATTTCTCGTTGCAGGTCATACATTTTACGGAGGTGATCCTGTTGCATGCGTCGAATATCTCGCTCAAGTTCATCTGCAAAGAAATGCACAAGATTTGATGATGATGGTAACTTACACACAACAAGGTATTTTTAATTTCTAAAAGTTTATAGTTTGCAGTTATGTTTGGTGTCAAGCAATGTACTGCGCATTCTTTTTTTAAATTTTTTTTTTTATAAATTTCAAATTTACTGCTGCACCATGTTATGAATTTTTTTTTCAACAATATAATTTAATAATGTCTGGTACTAAAAGAATATTTTTTGATCCCCAATCAAGGAAAGTATTCACTGTAAAATTAAATTAGGTAATGCAATGTCATTTTTCAACAGCAACAAATATTAAATAAAATTAATTTTCTAGAAATCTGTTAAAATTAATTAAACTTTTGAATGATATGTCGCTTTCAATCCACTGTGCCAGGTGTGGTTTCTATTCCTCTGTGTTTAGAATAAATTTGTGGCTCTGCTCTCATGCTGCACAAATTATTGACTACCCCCACATCCTACCCTGTCCCACAGACCTTCTTCATATTCAAGTCTCTAATGTTGAAGTCTTTTTTATTGAAAAATTAAAAAAGAGATTCTCAACAATAATTAAACCCAAGTTAAGGATTCTATGAAATAATGCAGTGCAGATGGCACACATAAATTCAAATACATAAGAATAGGATGATATCAATATTTGTTTCAAAGAGTTCTCTTTAAAAAGATAAGGGCTCTCTCTCAAGAGTTCATAAGTTTTTTGTCAGCAAAATTAAGTCTAGAAACAGTCATTATAAATTCTTTTGTAAATAATGAAAATAAAACATAATCAAAGCAGATTCAACTGGCCAAAGGAGCTGTGGGTTGGTAAAAACCATTGTATTCCTTTTTTATTAGTTCCTGGGCAATCATTTCATTTATCAATTTCTCTCAATGTTTTTACACAATATCAACAACTATCAATCACAACATCAATATATAAAAACTGATAATTTTTGCCATATAACTGATGGTGTAGCTATTTCAAAATGGCTTGTTTCAGTTTTTTTGAAAAACTTATAAAAACTGTGACCAGTTTTTCATCTCAAAAATTTTGAACTGTGTGCAATAATCTTAAAAATGGAAATAAAAAATTACAACACTATCTACTTGACTAGCCAGTTTGAGCAAAGTGATCACTACAAGCAGCTAAAACAAACTTAACAAACACAAACTTGACATGGGTCATATGTCAATTTTATTAATATTTAAAATATGATCTGTACAGATATTTACAATTAAAGACACTGACTTTCCTTCCAGGCATTAAAAACAATGAAAAGTAACAACAATATGGATTTAGATCAAACTCATTTGTCTGCCCAGCAGGAGCTATTCTTTGGCATTTATGTAATTATCTAAGAATTTCAATGGAAAAAAATCTTATAATTTAAAAAAAAATTGTTCCAACATCAAATTGTATCACTTTGCTCAAAGAAAAAAAAAAAAAAATGCCAACTATTCAAATAACAATATACCCCAAAATACAAGGCTCAATCTGGAACAGTAATAGCATTTATGTAATTATCTAAGAATTTCAATGGAAAAAAATCTTATAATTTAAAAAAAAATTGTTCCAACATCAAATTGTATCACTTTGCTCAAAGAAAAAAAAAAAAAATGCCAACTATTCAAATAACAATATACCCCAAAATACAAGGCTCAATCTGGAACAGTAATGAAAATATTTAAAATAAGAGGTTACTTAATTGAAATAAAAATATTTGCTGAATTGGAGAAGTACAATTTTTAATCTATCATTTTAAACTTAATAATATCTTTATCCAGCATTTAAGATGATAACATAATAACATAAATGGTTTGTTTAATTATTATTGAAGTGTATTTATTTTGAAACAATATGCTAAAAGCCATTTGGGCAACATTATCCATTTCAAACTTCACAGGATTTTAAAAATGCCATTTTGCAAACTGTGTTGTATAGAAACTACTTTACATCTAAAACTGGGATGATCAAGTAAAAATTGCTTCCAACAACCTTCAGAAAGAACTGGAAGTCAACTTTCTGTGTTATAAATGTTGACATGATGAAGACTGTAGCCACAAAATGTTCTTGTCAGACAGAGATATTAGCATGACGCCTTGCTGCTAAAAGTATCAATTATGGCAAGTGTTGTGCAAGATGTTGGCTGGCCAATCATGGTTTATCCTCCAGTCTGATTCATATTTAATTTTTGTTTGGGAATTAATTGTATTTTCATTTATTGGTAATTTGGTAACAAAAATAATGAAATTTTTTATTAAGTTTTACTAAAAGAATAATAAGCATGCACAATTATGTGATAAATTTTCAGCAATTAAAGGAATTCTACAATTTTTTTACCAAAAAAAAATTGTGTTAACACCCCTCCAAATTTCTTCTGGTCTTTCTAGTTTAATTGTGAATTTCTGGTGTATTTAGTGACACCCATGATGAATAACTAAGCATCATTACTAGAACTCAAAAACTAATTAATGGGACAAAACTAAAGTAGGAGCTATCAGGGATCTAAGCACATCGGCCTATAACAAAATGGCTAACAAGGCAACACCTGTTCACTAACGGTAAGCCCTTTAAATTGTTCACTAGCACGGTTGAGCAGATCCCCAACACTTCATGTTATGTAGGGCAGGTGTTTCAAATAATCTTTGCATATAGGACACCAGCCAGAGCCATTAGAATGGTATTTACCTGCAAAAGCAGAAAGTGGTCGTCTGTAAGACGTCTATTATATGGGTGAAGTTAGATGCCTATTTCATTATTGTGATCTACAAAGCAACTAAGGAGTAAAATGTAGCACCTCTATAGGAAAATCAGCTAGTGATTGTATTCACATTATGTACATAAAATACTTCAATTTCCTATTTGGGGCAGTTCTGACTGAATGTTTAAAAAAAAAAAAAAAGATCTTTAATTTGATGAAAATTTGCTATGAAAAATAGTGTGCTTCGTTTGAGAAAGGAAGCAAAAATTTCAAGACTTTTAAAGCCAACTTCTATGTACTGAATTTGGTTTCTATTAAATTTATCAATTAATCACATGAACAAAATATATTTGTATTCTATTTTGGAGGTAATTCATTGATCAGTAACTGAGGACGGGGGTGGGGAGGGGGACGGGCTCTCTTAGAATATGAACCGTCATCTACAACTTCAGTTCTGGCTGTGTTGGCAAAATAATTATCTTCAAACAGTGTTGGGTTTTTGGAGCTAGGATCTTGATTCCTGGGAGAGGTATCTAAATTTAATTTCAAATCTGGGTTTCCGAGACCAAGTTCTGCATTTTGCTGGCGGATTCTATCTGCATGGTCAATGTCCTCCCCTCTAACGTTCGGCTGTGACATTCGACTATAGCTATCTCTTAATTCCTTCTCAACCATGTTAAGTTTTCTGGCAGAGAGATGGGTTTTGTAGTATGGAGTTTCCATCACATCCTCATTCTGCTCTATGATAGTCTCAGGAAAAACCTTTGGCTGGGGTCTAGGACCAACAACATCATTAGTGCCCTCTGGCACCATTGACATGATGCTGACATTGCCCTTGCGCTCAACATCTTTTTCAACCGGCACCTCTGCCCTCTCCAAGACATACCTCGTAGTGCCCAAATCATACCCGTACTTATTTTGGATATCGACATCGATTCTCTCTTTCAGGGAATGAACATAGGTGACTGGTTTCTCTTTCAATAAGACTAGCCTACTAAGGTTTGGCCTAACAGGTTTGAGAAATCTGATGTCCAGAGGTTGAACTTGTCTGACAGTGGTTCCAGCTCTCTGTCTTGTTCTGGCTCTAGCCCTACCTTCTCTATCATCCTTGCGACGATGTCTTGCTTGGAGATTCTGTTCTTGGAGCAGCAGCAGCTGCCTCTGTAACCTCTCATTTTCCAATTCAAGGGCTAGTAGACTGTGATCGGGATGGTGTTTGTCTGTAATTAAATTTTTCAACAAAATATTCATTAATTCATACAGCTTCCTATACCAAGGCATGATAGATGAATGATGGAAACAAACCATACAGGCAGAGCATTTAGTGTAAACTTAACCATTATAGGATATACATATATAAAAATAATTTTACTTAATTTATATTTCAAAACCTATTATAATTCTTTAGGGGGGTTAACTCTTTTCAGTCCTCTTCTATAGAGAGCAGAAATTTATTTAGGCAGGTTATTTTCGCTCATAAAATGTATTTTTCTATTTTTTAAAGTATTCTGTATTTATTTCAATATACTATTGGAACTTTAATTAAAAGATTTTTAATGATTTTGATGTTTTTGCAGGTTTGAAATTCATGTAACATGTCGAAGAGAGAGTTGCCATCTTAGGGCACATATGTGTTAGACACTTGTTGGTGTGGCGGCGCAGAGTCTTGAATAATGAATATTATCGATAAAAATATCAATAAACTTTTATCTGAATCTTATGGGCAAAATAGTTGGGAACCTGAATCAAGTGATTTTAATTAAGATTTTGATGAGAATCCTTTTTTGCAACCCATTTAAGTTGTTAAAACTAGAAGGTTAGTCATCTATTACAATAGAATACATCCAATGGTGCCCAAATGCACAAATTTAAATACAAATTGGGGAGGGGTGATGAATTTTTAATTTTAAAAAAATAATAATTTCCCCTTTTTGAAACATTTTATAAAATATTTTATATCTTGGTCAAATGCTCATAAAATGTTCTAAATTATGCTTATGACATGAACAAATGCATTTTATGTCTGAATAAACTGATGTTATTAAATAATTTCAGGTATTTTTTTTTCTCCTTCGCATCTGATCACCAAAATAATTTATTACACATTTTCATTTTGTTGAAATTATGGTTTGAAACAAAGATTTTTTATAAGCCCCACGCATTTCCCCACAAATGTATATGTAACATCATGGATTTTATACATAAATTCTAAAAGTTATTGACTCTTTCATAAGGATTGCTGAATAAGTTGCACATGTTCTATATTCCCAACATAAACATTTGTATATAAATGTGTTATAAAGGAGCCAATGAAAAGTAAAACAACATATCTACAACTCATCTAAACTTGCCTTTAAATTAATGATAAGAGACTGGCAACCAATGAAATTTAAGCAAACATATTTGCAACCAATCAAAGAACTAAGCTGTCTGGATATACGACATAACTGTTGCCATCACTTGAACAATTTACCTTTAACTTTGCCGGGTGGTCTGTTCCTGAGGGAGTCATCTATTGCCTGAGCTTCTGCCTGCATCTGTGCCAACTGCTGCAGTATACTTGGGTCATTGCCTCCATTTTGTAAGTAAGCTTGTCTCACAGCAATGATTTCTGCCACTAGAGAATTTCCATAGTAAATTGGGTAGACATACTGTTGCTGCTTTTTGCCCTCCACCGGAACAGGACTAAGATAAGAAAAATAAGTTAAATAACTATAATTGTTTCAAGATAAATGCAACTGACTGTTAGGATTGGTTGTTTATAAATCCTCAAACTTCTTAATTTCTTCTTTAATATCATGAGAATATTTCAATGCCAAGTCAAAGCCTAATGGTGGCATGAATAATAAACCTGAAAATTTGTTTCCCAAATTGTATTTGACATATTGAAAACAATTTAAATTAGACTGTAATAAAAGAATGATATTTTGTTAGCATGACCACTATGTAACTCACTAATTATACTGAGTTGCCATCAAACGTCTTAATTCCTCCAACATTTTCTGATTTCTAGCCTCTTGATCTTTAAGTTCCTGAAGTAGTGCATTCATTGAATCATCATCTTTTATTGGTCTGCGCCCAAGGTCTTCAAGTCTACGTCTGATCTCTGTTTAAACAAAGAAAGAAAAATCCATATTCAAAAGCTAAAATTAATGGGAAAACTTTGCATTAATCAAGGAAAGAATAGTATTAATTTAAAACCATAGAAGGAACTTCTAAACTAAATGGACAAAACTCTTATGATAATAAAATTTGGAAAAAAGGTGCTGGCCATGTCTTTTCATCCTTTTTTTTAAATGTCTACTTATACAGATAAGATATAAAACAGTATCCTATTATGCCTTATATTCCCCATGAAACTATAAAATTGAATTGTACTACAATATAAACAAACAGGACACAAACAGCACTGACCCTCTCTCTGCCTCTCCAAGTCTCTGTTCCTATTCTGTAAATGTTCCATGTTCCTGCCATGGCTCTCTGCTAACTGCTGGGCCTTTGGGTCTGTTTGATGGTTGTATCTGGGCACATCAGGCTGTTGAGAAAAAAAAAGTTATTTTCATAAACTGCTCATCGAATATGTAGTGTGCTAAATGGTAGCCATGGAATCAAATGCATAAGGTGTCCTTATAGCCGAACACAACAGAGAAAATTTACAAGATCACAGCTTTAACAAGGATTAAATAGCAACAGTGTTTAAAATTATTCCAAATATGTATTTAATAAATATTTTCTTAAAAAAGAAATATTTTAAATCAGTGATTTATTGTTTAAAATGTTTATTTCTCATTCAATCTTGTTGAAATTTATTTTAAAAAGTTGCACATCAATTCAAAACAAATTTTCGTAGTTCATTAAATGATGCCGTCTGCAAGAACTAAGGTAAGAACTTGTTCATCTGGGTGTCCTTCTTTGTGGATCAGAATACTTATTTCTGTCCTTGAGATGCAGCAAGCTAGCAACAAACCTGCTGTCTGCGGTAATCTTTCTTTGGTTCTCCATACAGTTTACTCTCTCTCTGTCTCTCGTACTGTAGAACAGAAAAAATTTTAATCAAAGTTAAGGTTGCTATAAAATTGTATGGTATATTTTAAAACGTTCATGTACAACCCTATTGTGTTATTGTTTACACAATTTTACAATAAAAATCTAATGTAATTTGCATAAGTCATTAAAAAAGACAGCAATTATAAGAAAGTACTAGGCAAATCTAAATTTGTTTATCAATATTATCAACTTATTCCAATGTCTCATACAATAAAGACAAGCAAACATTTACTTACTTGTATCTGTAGATCTCGTAAAGCTTTGTCCTTAGATAGTTGAAGCTTTTTGCGCTGGTTCAAGGGGCGGGGGGACCCTTTGAGTTGACGATTAGTTTCTTCCAGATCATCAAGCAAAATGCGCTCTTCAAAATCTCTGATCTCTCTTTGCCTACTTCGCTGAGCCTTCAGTCTCCTCAGCTGCTGTAGTGTGTCATCTAAAGGCATGGTAAAGGCGGTGCTGCGGTTGCTTGTGGTGGTGCTGCGTTGAGGTGCTCTAAATTTACCAAGTTGACAAGGTTAACTTTGGCCCTACTAGAGTGGACCGAAGCACACCATCAAACCAGGTGGTAAGTTGGACATGAAAGGTGCTGGTGTTGGCGACATCTTACTGAGAAGACTCCGAACTGAGATTGTGCAAAATATGGCAGACTTTCTTTGGTTTCCGTCCAGGTGCTGCTCTATGAAATGGTTTCATTTTGCACAAAAAGCTCATCTTCATTCAGCCAAAGAAGGCTGGCTCTAGATGAAGGAGTCAAAGCATTTCACGTTATCACTGAATTCTGGAATGTTAATGTTGTGACCATGACTGAAACCCGTCCTTTGGTTAGAGATGGAGAGTTCTTATTCATGATCATCAGACTTGAGATGATACCACGGTAGGAATAAGTAATAGGCTTACATCATCATCATACCAGCCAGATCATCGCAGGACAATTTACATTACATCATTTACCTTAGTCTTGCCTAAAAAAAAGTTAATTATGTAGTGGTAAGCTGTTACCACAGCCACAGGTTCCTAATTAACAGCCTTTCTCGATCTAGACTTGATTTAATAACATAACACACTAAGTCAAGATAAAACGTCGAAGAAGAAATGTGTGTCGCCGGTGCGTGTATATCTAAATCAATATTATTCTCCAGTTGAGTTGGTTAATCAAACAGCACACAGTCTAATGATTGGATATCCTCAGGGAGTTTGCCTTGAATAACAGCCAGATTCTATCCTTCAACGTTTAACCAGAAACTCCATGTAGTTAGGTCAAAATGGTTCCCAAAACTTTTCGCGCTTCTGACTGGTGACGGTGTATCGAAAGTGCCGAATACTTCCATGAGCCGTTACCATTGACGACTGAAAACACACTTCAAAATAAAACGGTGACGAGTTAAGCTAAACCCAAGATACCGTTTATCATGAAATACGGCACCTATTGATCGAGCTCTGAATGGAGTTTGGGTCCACGTATAGGGCCACATATAAAAAGTTCTGGCGATTATCATTCGAGCCAAGCCATAAAACTTGTATGCGGCCCACGCAGGGTATTCACGCTTTCAATCCGAGTCAACAATCACATTATGATTATACAGTTTATGTACACGATCGTAAATTCTTTTATTGATTTCAGCTTTTTATTGAATGTCAGGTCAAGAGAAGAGAAAAGATATCAGACACTTGAAGTTAGATGTATAGTTTTATTTGCATTGTATGACCAGAATCAGTCAGTGTAGTCTCTTTTAGTCTTCACTAAACCACTGTTTTAACATTTAAAAAAATAATTATTTGTTTATATTTAATGTATGCATTTTAATTTAAATTATGAGTAGGCATGTTCAATTATTTTGGTCTGCAAATGTGCGATAATCAACAAAGATAAAGATGGAAGGAAATAACTGTTCCTTCGTTATAATAGCAAATTTAGTAAACTTTGAATTCAGACGGAAATGGAGCCAAAAACCCATCTGTTTAGGTCCGCCTATGACCTGTGATGCACCCTCCTTGCCCTGCCTCATTTTCTGTCTCGGGTTGATCCTGTAGTATAGGCCAAAACGTGCCAAAGTGTCCTCGTTTTATAGTCATTTTAATTGTTTCTATAGTATAGTAGTTGCTATCCTAGTGTCTCATTTTTATTTTACTTAGTTTACATGTTTTTAATAATTGTAAAGCGCTTAGAGCTTTAAGGTAAGCGCTATATAAAAATGTCGAAATAAATAAATAAATAAATATTTACAGCAGAAAAAGACTACAAAATTACAATGTCTTCACTCTGCCGCTAGCAACGGGACAACCCCCACCCCCACACCGTGAATGGGATAAAACTATGGTAACGAAACAACACTTAGCAATGATATCAGTCACGAGTCGTTAAATTCAATGTTCGCTTTTAAGCTGGATCATCACATTTAAAAAAATAATAAATAAATATATTAATTTTTTTTAAATTTTAAAATGGGGCCAAAAATAATCCCCACATTTCGAAATCTTAATCTTCGCAATTGTTAAGAAGTTTAACAGTCACTGATATCAGATCAGTGTCACTCAGTGTCAGAGATTTGGGTTGGAACAACGAGCACATGAGTTGTTTTTTAAAAAGAAGTGAATAAAGAATTTTTCAACGCACACATCATTGAAATACGGAACGCTTATCACAAAAGTTCTCAGCTAACAAAGTAGCCAAGATATAAAGAGGCTAAACACTCGAACACATTAGTACAATGGTGGGTGCGTAAATAACATGAGCTGGAATTAGAGTTCTAACGCTATATTCAATTCTTCTAATACTTTATATCTAAACCAGCGTTTCTCAAACTTGTTCAAATTGCGACCCCCTTTATAATGGCATGCAACTCGCCATACCCTAGATCAGGGGTGGGTAACATTTTTTTTGAGTAACTAATTTAAATTAAATGAGTCATTTTTGTATAAAGTTTATATAAAAAGAGCAGCATTTTTTTAAAATTCAAAGTACATCATGCATTGGGTCGCTGACCACTGTCCTTGACATTTGGATAAAGATGAATGGTAATATAAAAAACATCACCACGTATAATTTTATGAATATAATTCAAAATAAAATACATTTTTATGATTGTGCTAGCATCAGATAACAAGATTTGAAATTCGTGATCAACTGTATGTCAAACTGAAAAATTAAGTCTGTTCTTTTTTTTTCTTTGTTTAAATATAAAGACGCGTTAAACATTTATTCTTGCGGAAAATTCACAGGCAGATGGAAGTAACATGTGAAAGGCAAGCACAGTAACAACTGTAATGCATAGCACACCAACCGGGGGGGGGGGGGCTGGGGAACGTGAAAAAGTGTCCCCCGGGGGGGGCGCACCCTTCGTACACCCAAGGCACCCCACAGGAGCCAGACCTGTTCCAGGAATTTTGGTCAAGAGTGCACAG